GTATCTAAGTGGTATTCCCTCCCACACAGGGCTCTCCCCCCCTTCCATTGCATTCCATCCAAGCGAGCCAAACAAATCGTCCCCCCCCTTCTAATTCTGCCCAGACACCCCCCGGGAAAAAAGCAAAACCACCCCCTCAATGCACCAGGAAAAGACTGTGGACACATCATGTATCCCGCCTGATTGCCTCCCCCAGAGATAAACCTTCCTAGCGCAGAGACCCGCCCTACGAGAATGTCGGTTTCAGTGTACATGCAATCAACGCTAGACAGATACCGAACGTGGCTCAAGAGCAGCATCAATCTCGCCATTTCCTCCCCAGTGCTTTACTAAGATCATACCCAGTGAGAGCGAAAATGAGACTGAGACAGAGCTTGAATTAAGGCTTCTCCGGATAAACTAAAAACTCTACCACCCCCTCCCCCGCAATTTCGCTCTTTCTTTTAGCCCAAGTGCTCCGTATTACGGGAGTACTTATGATCACTTATCTCATTCCCCTTCGTACGATAGCCGGTTGACCATCAGGAGATAAGGCGGGAAACACCGGAAGGACAGCCTCAAACCCCAAACGCAAAATAACTTCGAGTGAAACATCAACTCTTTTCAAACATTACACAAGAGAGCAGAAGTGTCCGCCCACTTGCCATTACCATTACCGTATTCTACCTGGTACCCAGTATACCAAAAATCCCAGATGAATCATTCAGCTTTTCCATGTCTATGAAGTCATGCTTCGCAACCACGGGTCCCACGGATGCACCGCTTGCCCGTGGCTTTTCCTCCCCCTTCAATCCCCCCTCCATTACCTGTCCACCCCTGAATAGCGCTGCCGCCTCCCCCATAGTGCATGAGGTTTCCCCATATTTTGTAACACCAAACGTGTTTTGGTATTCCCCAGTCAAATGCCAGCCCATGCCGTTGCCGAAGCCCTCAGATGCCAAATGCCGGAGACGGGCTTTCTAGCGGCATGTGGGATGCAAAGATACCAAGAAACAACAAGTAAAAAGAAAATATTTTGGTTGTACAGAAATTGATGAAAGATTGGAGCGCGTGAGTGTGTAAAAATAATCATGTCTTTTTCGATTTTTTTGGGCCAACTTTCAGTTGAATCCAATAATAAATCTTCCACTGTATAGAAACAACCAGAAACAAGAGAAGAGAAGAAACAGAAAAAAAAAAGGTAGTAGTCAACAGTAATCCGTTGGGGAAGTGGTGATGTCTATATTTCCTTTGGCCATCCATCTTGTGTAGGATTCCATGCCCTGCAATGAAAAAAAAATCAAGTAAAGAAAACAAAAAAAGGGAAGAAAAAAATAGCCGTGTCAAGTCCTTCGAGGGACGACTCTTTCCATTTCCATTTCCATTTCCATGCCATAAACGCCGTCTCTTTCTATCCTTCTATAGCCCAAAGTCATCAAGTCATTCGAGGCGCCAAAGTAAGGGATTCTCTACATCCGATCCATGAGGTCGCCACCTGCAAGACTGCCTGCAGTTGAACTTCTGCCGCTGTTAGGGAATACACCGTCTGAGAGGAGGTCCTGCACCGCCACCTTGGGAACCTGAGGAACAGGGAGCTTCCTCTGGCTCCCGTCGGGGCGGCTGATGATGTCGGTAAGCGACATGCCGGGGCTGCGGTTGTTGTTTGCCTGCAGCTGAGGGGGGAACTGGGGAGCATCCAGGTGGGGCTCCATGGGGGCCAGCGCCGGAGTCGTGTTGTGCTGCAGAGACAGGTTTCTCAGACTCGGCAGCTCATAGCCCGAAAAGGGGCGGAGTCGAGGGGAGTGAGCGGGAGTTGCGATGGGAGTGTGATCCGGGGTGGGAGACAGAGAGTCGTGGGAAAAGGTGGGAGAAGAGGGAGCCGTGGAGTTGGGCGAGTTAGGCCTCGACCTCTTGGCGTGCCTCATGCTGCTGTAATGATCATCATCGTCATTGGAGTGAGATCTCGCCATGTGGTACGAAGAAAGGGAAGGCGGGTGGCCTCGAGAGTTCGGCAAGCCCTGGCCGAAGTAGGGATGATGCCTTGAGTTGTGGTTAGACGGGCCGCCAGAGAGTGTTTCCCGCTCGATCTGGTTTGCAGCCTTTGCCAGCATTGTGATATCGTTGCCACGGTTGTAGTGAGCCATGGGGGTCTGGGGCATGACAAACGAGGAGTAAGAGTGGGGAGGCGAGACGTTAGGCGAGACCAGAGTCGAGGTGGGAGCAGAGCGGATGGCCTTTGGCACCGGAGGGGGCATCATGCCATCGACGTGCATGTGGTGAGGAAGGCCTTGGTGGTGAAGGTGCTGTTGGTGCTGCTGCTGGCCCTTGTTGCCGCGCCTGGAGTTGGGGTTGCTGTGTATCCTCGAGTGCCTGGTCAACTCATCGGAACGAGAGAACTTCTTGCTGCAGCCAGGGAACTGGCAGGCATGGGGCTTCTCGCCCGTGTGAGTGCGGATGTGCCTGGTCTGGTGCTCCAGACGGTGGAAGGCCTTTTCACAAAGAGGGCACTTGTAGGGACGAGGAAGCTCGTTGGCAGCCTCCGTTGACTGTGCTCCTGGGATAGGCCCATTGGGCTTGATGACGGTAACCGCAGCGGTAGACATGGCTCCGCTGCCTTGCTCGGCGTCGCTGTCCTGTCCTGCTGCCGAAGTTGGATTAAGTAGATTGGAAAAATCCACGGCAGACTGAGCTCGTTGCATGTGATCGAGCGGCAGCCAAAGCGAGTAAACGTTGACTAGACGGCCAGAGAAGCGAGCGTGTGGGTTGGCAAGAGATTATCCGCTGGTGGAGTGGTTATATGCCGTTGTCCTTGTAGTGGGGAGGACCGCTGTGCAGGACCGCTGTGTAATTATCTGCTTGTAGCTGGTGTTGACGCTGATGTTGCTTGCCTTCTAAGGTCAAAGAGGCTCTTGTCGTCGGTAGTTGGAAGATCGAGATGCGATATTAGATTGGGTGAGTGGCTATGGTGTGGTTTTGTTTTGCTTGATCGAGGGAGACTTTTTTTTTTCCTTCGGGAGAAGGAGGGGACTGGGGGAGGCAATCGCTTTAATAAGGGCGGGCTCGCCCGGGTCGGTACTTCGTACATGGGACTGGGAGGGAGTGCAGGTACTTGCGGACAAGTACCTCAATGCATCAACGCAAGCACATGCTAGACCTCGCTACACGCGGCTCTAAATCAGGGGCGTCACGCAGGGCTTAGGCAGTGCCTTTGGGGGTGCAACAGCACTGCACGGCACAGTCCAGTGGGCTGGATGGCGCGACGGGGCGCTGGAGGGGAGCAGACGGGACACGTAGCCAGGGCACGAAAGGGGTACGGGGTACTTGGCTGCTCTCGAATGTTTGTACCAGCCAGCCCCAGCATTCAAAGCCCCAGCCCTCGCCCTCAGTGGGAGCCCCAGCTGGGGCGAAGGGGACCACAAGGAGGGGGGGTGCGATGGCGGGGTGTGCGCTTGGGTCAGATACCTAGTACAGGGCTCAGTGAGATGGCCGATGCCAGCTCGGCCCACGGGAGATTCTCGCTGTTGACGGAGGTACCACCTCGACGACGGTACATGTTACTAACGTGCTCAATGCAGTGTTCTCTCAGATGCGCTGCCACCCCCCTCACCAAAACGAGTTGAGCGTTTTGCCGCTATTGGGACGCCCCTCGGCGCCAAATAGCGAGAGTGGAAACCACGGTGAAGGGAGGTTCTTTCCATTTTTTGGCGTGCGGTTTTGTGTGTGCCTTTCTGTTGAGAATTTTTCTTAGCAGTTTTTTTTTTTTTTTCTGATTCCCGCTCCACTGGGCGAGCGAGCTTCTTACTCGTACACCTCAGATTCAAATTACGTTTCTCTCAGTCCATCGCCATCACTAACCTCAACTGCCATGTCCCAGCTCGATGTACCCCCGGCTTGCTGCTCTGTACGGTATCGGGCGGAATGAGGCGCAGCCTCTGTCGTGCTCGACTGATTGGCCGCCATTCCCCGGAAAAGCTATTCGCGTGGCTTTCTGAGGTATGGAGGACGAACAAGTACTACCTGGAGACGAAACCAAGACGGGAGAGTCGCCTAGGACGGTTTTGAACAGCATGACGCTGCGTGCGGCCGTCGATTTCTGGAGGCTGCCGTCTCCAACGGGATTTTTTCCAGGTTCCTTTTTGCCCACCAGCACTTGGGAATACTGGCGTCTTTTTGCGGATAGCCTACAGGTACGGAATACGGCTTGGTCTGGTGTGGGTGGTTTCTGGCTGGCGCACACAAAAGAACCGGCTCTTTGCGCATCAATCATCGCCCGTGGCTCGCTGCCAGGACGAAGCCATTACTCTCTCTTTTCACCTGGCTTCTGGGCACGACTCATTTTCCCGTGTCGTGGGGCCGAACGCTAACCTGAAAGCCAAGGTGGCCTGGTGCTAGTGTTCACTCACAGCATGCTAACTGTGCTTATAGCACTAAATTCCACTGCGTCGTGCATTCCTCCTTGCTAGTAGGGCAACGTGAGATGATGCGATGCCGGGGTGGAATTTCACTAAGAAAAAAAAAGAGACAGAATGATAGAGTGAGAGAGAACGACGACGAGGGAGAAACAGGAAAAGGAAATGAAAGAAAGAAAAATACAGTGCTCACGAGAGAAAAGAGAGCATGGGTAGGAAAAGATTGGTGCTGTGGTATGTGCAACAACTGGACACGTGCGCATACTCCCGTTCTCGTCTCTTTGCGGTCTTCTTCTTCTCTTTGCGCAGATATGCTCAGCACTGCCCAGTCAGCTGGCTTCGTCCTGCTACTTCGACAGCGCCCGTACTCTTCCAATCCCCGGTTTCGAGGGTCATCAGGACACTACATCCCGCTGTTTGGGGGCCGCAGTGACAGCTCCCTCATCCCATCCATCAGTCGCAACGATAATTGAATACATATTCATGGACCAAATGTGGGGGTCCCCAAGTGTCACGCCCACCAACAATAGCCATGGCGGCTCGCCAGTTGGGGTCAGGTTATCAAGCACCTAGGCCTACTCTGCGCCGATATCAGGGGAGAGCCAAGTCCGCAAGTCGTTATCGTGGGATAGCAAACCCCCATGGAGTATGTGGTCACGCCTCCGGGGAACCTGTCAATCACTTGATGACAGCCGTCTACTGGTTGGCAATACAGCCCAGGCGCTTAAGCAGCCCCAAAGAGCAAAGAGAACCAGACGTATGCAGAATAGCGCAACCAACTCTTTTACGTTTCAATTTATTCTGGCCTTTTTCTGCAATCAACTCACTACTGCAACCAGTCCGTATCCAGCCTCAACCTACCAAATAACAGCTACAGTACTTCCTGCTAGTTGCAGTAGGATCGAGATACAGTCTCTTAATGTTTCTTCCGTGGACAACCTCGCCCGTGTCTCGGCTATTTGGCACCCCTTTCCTCTCCATCACCTGCCGTCGCCCTTCCTATGGTCTGATTTCCGTTGGTCATGGCAGAGGGTCTGAGGCTACCGTAGCGTCCGCAAAGCGGTCTCCAACGATCTCGCAGAGCCAATCTTGCCTCACCTGAAGAATGAATGGCGTTAGCGAATAAATGCGACCTGCCTTGACAATGCTAGGTCGTGGTGATCAGCACAGTTGTTAGCTCGCTGGGACCATGTTGCCCCTCCGCTCACTGGATGCTCCGAGGAGTGGGCATTGCTACTACCACTGCCATTTTCCGAACGCGAGTCCGTAATTGAGCTGGTTCATCTTGCTTCCTCACAGGCGATCGCGACGGTCCGTGAGACAAGGGTGTGGATATGGAAGTATGCAGCATTCCCCAGAGGATGCTTCCCCAGACTTTCCTATTCTTCTCACTCACCAACCGGTCCAAGTGGCGTCCACCATTCCTAGCGCGCCCTTGGAGCCCAAAAGTACATGCTCCTTTGGTCCAGATACGGAAGACACACTCCCGACTATTATTCTCCATGACTCTTCACCTTCCTTATCCTCGGCGCAACATGTCTTGGAAGGGGCCTACCAAATTATGCTACCTCCATCACCCCGGCCGGGGTCCCCAGAAACACCCCTGGTTCCTCCCTACGGTAGAATGTGGGGGTTGTTATCTCGCACCAGATTTTCCCTGCAATTGGTGGCAGCGCAAACTGGCGGCTAGTTCTGGCACGGCCGCCACCTCCCCATTCGTATTGTCCAAGTGATGGATTCTTATCGCAAGGCGTGCTCTGGGCTTCAGCAGAACTGATCCGCAGTGGTGCCAAGTACCCATTCCACAGTCTAGGCACCCGTCAAACGGATTCGCCATTGCTATTAGCGCGCCTCTCTATCAACTCTGTTTCCCGAACCCGGCCTTTCACTGCTGCCTGTGTTCATGCTACAAGGACTGTGCAGGACTTGTAATTTGTGCCGCCCTGTATCGGCTGCCTTGCCATGTATTCTTGGATACATATGTACATCTGGAGAGCCGACCCTTGCGCCGCCTAAGCTGTTTCAGGAAATCCAGGGGGTCAATGATCTTAGATCTCCTGAATGTTGTTCCCCTTGTCACCGAACCAAACCGCCACGTAACTTTCTCGGAACGGGGAAGACCGGCCGACACCCCGGACAAGGAACTCTGCAGGCTGCCCCAGGCTGCCCAAGGCATTGAATGCGACCTGCTTGGAGTATGCAGCGATGAAACAGAGGTTACAGAGCCTGTGCTTTGGTTTCATGGCCCAAAAATAAAATGGGAAAATATCCACCAATACGGAGGATTATCACCTGTATGGAAGGGGGAGCAAAGATGACAATGGTTGCGTCCCGTCCAATCCACCAAACACGGCCGCTTGAGGTGAGCATCAAATAATCCTTTGGCGCCTTCTTCCGGAGAGAAGTGGTGATTCATCAGAAAACCCTCCTCGCGGCGGGTACTTCAAGCACAGGTATGGAGTTACGGAGTACCAACGGCGGTATAAACTGATGAGGCCATATTTGGAGTCGCCCCATTTTCGCTCAGGTGTTATCCTGACGGCACCCCTTGACAACCTCCACCAGGTCAAATCAATGCCCGCTAAAACCCCACGCAGGGGAGATGAAAGATGATAAGGATGGATGGGCGTGATCTGATCGTTTCGTTCAATATTCGGTCCATCTATGGAATCCTTCGTATCAGGACATCAATGGGACATGTATTCCGGATCAATGCTCGGCGCAAACAAAGTGCTGCGTACATTTTGGTCCAACTAGGAAAAAGCTCCATGCCTGTCAAAGTGGCTAGAGAGACTATTGCCTGGAAGCAACACTGCCAACTGCATACAGGTACGGACTGACAGCTGAGTATGCGCATAACATTGACAAAAAAGGGTAGCGCTAGCACCAAAGATGTATACAATAGTCAATACTACATGGACTACTGCTTCAAACCGAGATACCGGTTCAAAATGGATCTCCCCGACGGAAGATGGGATGTCCCAATATGGAGAGATATTGAACGGCCTATTCGGCTGAATTACGGAGAGGCAAGACCCAACAACATACGGAGGGCCTGGACTGGGGTCAACCGGGTTCCAGAGCAGAAGCAGGCCAGATATCAACCAAAAGGGATGCCAGATGCTGACTCTGGAATGCTTCAGCTCGGGGAGCTCGCGGCAGTACATCCCAGGCCTTGCCTCTCGAGATTGGTACGTTGCTTGATGGCCCTTGGCCGGAATTCCTAGGGCCCCGATTTCCGTGCTGGACACCCGTCATCTTGCCCAGTTTCACATGTAACACGGGGAAGAGAAATGAAAAAAAGCCATCGTGCGTATCGCCTCGATTATCTTTTCTCGCTCAGCGGCGCACAAGGTGGACACTGACCGAGCCAAATCAAACCTCGCCATCACCCACGTGCTTATCGTGACTCTGCCCCCAATTTCCCAATTTCTCCAGCGGAGGCGGGGCTCCGCTCGGTATACGGGCCTTGGAAGCTTTCACCATTCTCGACAGCTTGCTGCGGGTGTTTGTGCCCCGTGCGATAGCCGAAGCATCGCCTCGGCATCAACTCACCATTGGCTGACGCATCTGCTTGGTTGGAGATTGCGACACTCCGCGCCTCCGGTTCGCGATTGGCGTGCTCTTTGATAAGAAACTATGCCGGCTAATGGGACGGAAAGGCCAAGTCCACGCCTAAGGGGGGTACAGAGGGGACGGCTAATACTAATTAAAGCTGACGGTCAGCGCCGGCCGAGCCACCCACAACCTCTCCTATCAGTTATGATCTAACATGGTCCGAATGGGCAAATGGGGTACAGTGGTGCTCGTTTGTACAATGGTACTACAGGTACATACCACGCCATATCTCGCTCCGAATCATTTGAAGATCTAGACCTGGAGAAGGAAAACGCTTATGCGGGGCTCCGGGCTTTTTTGCTCTTTATTCAACGGAGAACAAGTTTGCAGATTAATACGACGTGGGTTGGAAGAGACCGAATCCCTTGGCGATTGGGGGCCGCCGGGAAGGAAGATGAGGAAAAGCCAATAGGGTCCTCACATTGCATCATCAGCCTCAGGTCCAGGCTGGGACTTTTTCACCCTCTCGTTTCTGACGATGCAACGTGTTACGCCTCCATGGGGGTGTGCACTAAAACCTGGAGTATTTGTCGGGCTCACTCCCCACGGTTCTTCCGTTGTCAGACGCAAAAGTACGGGCACTTACGAGTATTATACATATTTGCCCCTAGGCTCTTTGACAAAATTGATACAGTACAAGTACTTATGTCTTGTGAGGGCAAATATTGGCATATTACCTGATGCCGTAAGCTCTAATACTCCCGGAAACCTTCTTTGGGTGACGAGTCGGTTTCTTGGATGAGCATCAAAAACAGCCTTTAGGCTGAAACATGTTTCTGACCCTCCCCCTTTGTCCTGTCCGATTGACGCAGGAACACATTCTTTGATTAATGAAAAGCTCAAGGGGGCGGTTGGTTGCCGCATAAGCAAACTCTCCCTCACACACTTTTCAAAAAAGAGGGCAAAACAAAACTTCTCACCCCATGGGGGAGGAGGCGGATGCGATAGGTGCCACGATGAGGGATCTGGAATGTTCGGCCATCGGACCATGGCGTGGAAACGTTTCGCTGTGGTTGCTTCAACTTTTACATGTCTAGAGCTGCCTTGCGTGAAACAAGCACATAATTGGCCGCTGCGAACGGTTTGTTGTCATACACACTGCAACGACTGGCACCACGTATGAGCAGCACCAATGTATGTACTTCACAATGGGGGTCCTCGAGCCTGCGATTCGCCAGCCCAAAGATACCGCAGCGTCAAGACGAAGCATCCGTAGCCTACCAATTGGCTAGGCTCGTCACTTGGGAACACAGCTTCGGCTCTCTTTCCCGCGACGGTCGTCGTCACGTCGCACCGCCCTTGCAGCCGTTTCGTTTCGTTTTCTCGTTTGGGGCTCCCCCAAAGTTTCTTCAGGAGATTTCGGCGACGCCGCGCGAATAAAGGCGCAGGAGGGCAAAAGCCATTGAGCCGAAAGGACCCTTGGTGGCGTTCTGGAGAAACGCCCCACACAGACGTTGCCCTGAATGAAGCACCAGCAATTTTTTGTTGTGCCCTGTGTGTGTACAGTGTCTGTGTGAGTGTGCCACGCACGAGCTGTGCTTCGGTACGGCGTACTCCGATCTCGAAAGAAAGCGCCGTTTTGGGCGATGAGGCGAATCTCCTAGATCTCCTTTGCCGCGGCGGACTTTCTGTGGGAAAACGAAAGTGCTTGTTCCTTTTTCGATGCTCGGTCTGGCTTGTGAGTTTGGCTTGCATGCAACGTTCTCGCAGCAGAAAACACTAAGCGGCACCACTCCATACTGTAGATCTTGAGCTTTGGCGTTTTCCCCAGATCTTCAGTGGAAGATTCTGGTCACCCGTCCTTTTACCTTAATTTGACCATCTGTGGCTTGCCCTCTCGTTGGGGAGAAAACCGCCCTGATATGTGGCTTGACCAACATCTTCTCAGCCCCCAAACTGAGGGGTTGTCGGGTTTTGGCACCTTCAACGGTATAGACAGACCAGCGCCCTTTGCTTGACGTCTTAGTTATTCGTTATGTAAAAGGCACTTTTTCTTATAAATTCAAAGGTAATGTTCTATATGGTGACGTCAAAAAACGCCCTCTTAATTGATTTTGAATACTATCTGCGGAGCCTCTCTTCAACTTTCCTCGGTTCGTATCGTTACTCCAGGAATACGAATGTTAGTTGCCTGTTGCAGCTGCTCAGCAAGCACCTAATGGTGAGGTACGGAGCTTTGTAAAATTCCACGGCGTCGTAGTTACGAGCAGGACCGAAATAAATAATTCCACAGTTGAGGCTATTGTGGCTTTTGGTAGCTACAAGCTTGTCTTCACTTTCATACGACATATCTCAATATCAAGACGCCTCTTTCAGGTAGTAATCACAGTATATACACTTTGCCTAGCAATTTGAACTTGCAGCAAAGGATTCTACCGCCACAATGCCTATTCAGACAGCCACCCTTCGTATCGCTCGTCCATCGGACAACATCGAAGCTTTGATACCATTCTATGTCGATGGGCTAGGCTTCGAGCTACTCTTCCGCTTCAACCAACATGAGGAATTCGACGGTATCATGCTCGGCCACAAAGGTGCAGGATACCACCTTGAGTTTACGGCCAAGAACGGGCACACCGCCGGCCGTGCGCCTACAGAAGATAACCTGCTTGTCTTTTATCTACCCGAAGGGAACGACTTCAAGGAGGCAGTGGCGAGGATGGAGAAGGCTGGGTTTGGTGCCGTGACAAGCTTTAACCCATACTGGGATCGATGCGGCAAGACGTTTGAGGACCCGGATGGATATCGTGTCGTTTTGGTTAGCACCAAGTCGCCATTTTGAGATGCTATCAGCATTGGAGAAAACGGTATATACGAGGACCGAGACATATCGCTTTCGCCATAATTTCTGTCACGATGTGAGAGCAGAATTGAAACGGCTAGGAGATAGGTATGAAAATGCTCTTCTGTGGATGTCATTGGACTACTTGCAGGGGGTACAACACAGAATTGATACAAGCGCCTAGGCGGCTGTGGAATATACGATACTTCGCTACATAGAACAACCTATGCAATGGTCAACGTATCATGGCACCATAAATCACAATAGTTGCTCAGATGGCGAGATCCTCAAAAGGGTACACGGAGCCATGCTCGGCTCTATCCTCTCATATCCTCTCAGCTGTACCCGCTTTGTCTGAGAGTCATGACTAAAGACCGAGCTATTGGCGATTATGCCTCACAAGCAACGCTCGTGCTTTGCATGGGGCTCACACAAACCCTGGTATCTGAGATTCGCCGACACGAGGCCGCAATTCTCCGTGCCCAAGAGGTTGGGCCATGATCATGCAAACTTGCGAAACCGAGAATAACAATATGGAAATAGTCAGCCACCATAATCACTTAGAAAAATGAGGGTTTAGCATTGGAACGGAGCAATGGGTGCTGTGTGAAATACAGTCTCTTGGAAGGAGAATTTCAGATTGGGAGCTGATTACCGCTTTCGGAAGTGCCTGTAGATTGAAAACACTATGTCACGTGATTTCGCGACTTACCGTGCGCGCTACGCCACGGCCTTTGCTTCACACGTTAGCCATATCACACAGCGTCTCGTGATAGCACGGCCAAGCTCAGGCAAAGCTATGGATCATGGATTATCATGCCATCCATGGCCATGACATAGCCAGCTTTGATACATCGAGCTCAACGCGTAAGCATTCCTCGGGCTGGTCGTGGCGCCAATAGGCTAATCTCATTGGTTTCTCTCAGATCGTCTTCCAACGGTGCCGGCATCACAGGCTTGGGAAGACTTGAAGGCTGGCCCGGCCACTCACATCTCGACGGGATTGGAAGCCCTTGATCGTGCATTGCTGGGGATTGACTCGGCTGATTCGCAAGATGCTGCGTCACTAGGTGGTGTCAAGCGCGGGCAGGTAACTGAGATATGGGGACCTCCAGGTTGTGGTAAAACTGCATTAGGGTAAGAGAGCCCAATGATGTAGATGATGTTTTAAAACAAATAATGTGCCTTTGTTCATGTTTATGGATGCTAATGGGATGTAATAGAATTCAACTGGCCGCCAATGCCCTGAGTGGTGGTAACGGTGTGGTCTGGGTAGGTCGGTTTGACGACTTGAAACAAGATATCCCCAGTTATCACCGCTGTAAACTAACACAACCCGATTATTTTCAGACTGCTTTCAAAAACTACAATCTCAAAGGATAGCAAATGTGTTGAAAAGCGTCAAAGAATCACGACATTCGGCGGAAACAGGGGATACGCAAGAAATAGACCCAAGCAAGCTGGTTCAGTACTCTTGCATGACACTACCGCATCTACTTGCGTTTATATCTCGGCCAACAACAACTACCATTGCTTCAGATGTTTCGCTTATTATTATTAGCTCTCCATCGGCCTTGATCAATTCATCTTTGCCGAGATCATTGGAACGGAAAGGAAACCCAAAACAAGCAAAAGGTAGTATCCTTCAGGCATAATCGTAACTGCGAATATCTCTCTCTAACACCATGCTTCCTAGGCCCTACTCAAGCCTCGAAACGCCTACAAGGGTTACAGTTTATCATCAACACGCTGCAGAAGCTCGCCGCAACTAAGAACTGCGCCGTCGTCTTACTATCGCAATGCGCAACGAAGATGAGAGGCGAGCAGAAACCCACACTAATTCCGTCCATCAACACCACGGTGTGGGAGCAAGGCGTGTCTACAAGGCTAGTTCTATTTCGGGACTGGGCGTGGAACGGCAACAAGTTTTCCAGCGTCTTTCTGGCAGGCCTGCAGAAGATTGACGGTAGGGTAGTCCAGGACGCCGTCGAGCATGTATCTGCATTCAAAGTTGAGCCCGTACGTTACATTGACCAGACGCAAGCGCCGGCATTTGAAAATGCTAATCTCAACTTGGACAGGCCGGCATATCAAGTGTCCACTACGAAGTGAATGATCCGGGCATGGAGGTGGCGGCAAGGGCACCCCGTCCAAAGAGGAAACTGGGGCAGACGGAGCTGGAGGTGCCGGATAGCGACGATGATGAAGACTACGGCTGGGCGGACGAAGACGAGGATGCACTGCCGCCGCCGCCGTCTCAATGGCAAGGCAGCGAGGACCTGATTCTGGGCAAAGAGGCCGGCCTAAGCGATGAGGAGCCGGACGAAGGGCTCCAGGACTACTATTATGAGGACGACGAGGCCGGGGATGGCGACCGAAGTAACAACGAGACGGACTGACCTGAGCTGGGAAAAACCGGGGGGTCGTTTAAGCGCCGGCAAAACGCCGATGGCCTTGGCTGCGCCGTAACGTGTAGGTATTCCCGAGATGGAGCGAGAAGATGGAGCCGCATCTCCACCGAGCGGTCTTGCTATCAGTTCGAGACAAGCCTAGTGAATAGCATGACGAGGTGGCGGCATCCCGGCCGGGAAATCTATTTGGGGTTAGGACGGTTGAGGCCAATTGCATTGTATATTACGAGCACTTGATATCATATCTCAGCCGCATGCACGCAGTAATACGAGCTGTAATGAGAATGTCTCTTTGTATTATAACGTGCTGAGTATTACTTTATCTCCATTACTTTGAATCTCAACCTCGGCTAGATGTGTCTCCGTACCAACGCACCTGATAATATTCCATACCTACCTATCACAGGATTGGGTGAGTTGATGGTCAGCATCTCAGAAATTCTATGGTTCTTTGAGACCCTTCGGAGGTGATTACTCGTATGCGAAGAAAGCCATGGTTCGCCATGAGACGGGGTATGTAATGGCTGCGAACGAGCTGTGGGCACAATGCAATCCATCATTGTCGTCCCTGAGCTTGGCATAAACATGAGGTCTTGTAATGGGCTCACAGGCCAAGTCCAATTGGAGCGACGAGAGTTATTGCACTCGCGGCTGTAGAAATGAAGTTGACTCTTCAGGCCTAATATCAGTGACTCTATACTCACGGTTTTGACTAATGAATAAGATCGAAAGGGACGATTTCATGCTGAGATGCCACCTTGAAGGTCAAACATCATATACATGCCGCCTGGTTCGGAATTGTTGAGATAGCTGACTTTCTTCCCTTTGCCGCAAGCTGTTAGCTCGCCCTCGTCGCTCTTGAACATGTGATAGCTCGGGATAGGGGACTCAAGGGGAGACTTTTGCCCTTTCCGATTATCACTGCACTTATGTCCGTAAAGGTTCAGACGCCAGATGCACTGACCTTGATGGCCCCCTTCACATTATGTAGATGGTTGAACCGGTCATCAACCCCACGAGTTTGAGAGCGCCAGACTTGGAGCTGGCATTGCCATCTTATGCATCCCATTTCTTCGCAGTGAGCATCCAAATTGTGTCCGTGGACGCAGCTTCGGTAATGCATCACGATTGACCATTGACCTTATTCCAATAAAGTGCTTGTCTATCTTGGAAGAACTGGCGCAGATAGCGGATGCAAGCGGCACTGCATTGCTAGATTAGGCCAAACAATGATACCGGTCTATTGGATTTTTACCGTGGATGGGGCGGCTAATTGGTGAGCAGGGGTAGTGATAGTGATAGATTGCATTGAATGAAGCACAAGGCGATCCTCCATTCCGATCTGAGATGCTTGCTTGAGGTATGCAGCTACTGCAGCTCAGTGCAGGCAGAGCGAGCTCGTTGCCTATCTACAGTATGTCTCTCAGGCAGCCCCCAAAGCAGCACTGCTCTGTTGTTTCTTTCCCCTTCTCCTCCACGAAAAACATTCGCTTACGTCTTCATGTCAAAATTCTTTCGATTAAAAACTGCGTCTCATCATTTTATGCAGCCTTACTCAGACCAGCTTCAAACAGGGCTCGTTCTCCGCGCCGCTCGCTCGCATCGAGTCTGGCATGATGTTGCTCGCCGCTCGGCTGACATCTGTAGCTTCGGCTCGGAGCAGCCCTCGTACATACAGGCATACAGGCACAGGGTCTTCCGTCCCCTACAGTACCAACCTACCTTGATGGGTGCGCTGGGCCTTTTTCGGCGGCACATGGATTCCGCAATTTTTTCTGCTCGACGTTTGCCACTGGCCCATTTCAGGCTGTCACAGCCAAGCCACGATGCATTGGGACAGCTGTGCCTGTGTTCCTGGCCTGGCTCGTCCACGGGTAGAGTAGCAGAGTTTTCGGTGTCCTGTCCCGCCCAACAACAAAGGCACGAGGAGAGTCTACAGCACTCCGCACGAGTACTTTCTCCATCTTCCATCTACCTGGATCCCTTTCCCTTTATCTTTGGCCTTGCATTATCAACTGTCAATAGCACGGAATCCTCCCGTGCTAGTCTGGGCAACTAACGGTACGAGTTCGGGTTCCCAGCTACATACAGTACATACCAAGGCAGGCTTCCAATCTTCCTGGTCCATGCGTTTGCCCACATGCTTCTGGAAGAGAACAGAAAAATTCTCCTAATTGCATCATGAGCCGCCAGCACGGCTAAGAGCCCCGCCGTTATCTTTCTCATCCCACGCCAGAGAATGCGCCGGTTGAGAAATTTTGACGATCCACCCGCCTTTCGACATCTTTGTACCTGTGGGGAAAAGATACATGGCTCAAAATCCCCGATCTGACTCCACGTTTTCGTAGGGACACGCCTCTTGGCTGCCGCCCAGCAACTTTTTTTTTTTTTTTTTTTTCCTTGCCTTGCACGCTCTGTCTCTTCAATCCCTGCACCCACTCACTCACTCACTCTCTTGGCCCCTTCAGTACTCTTACAGCTACTGTAACAGGCAGCCTTATTTCCCTTGTGCCTTATGCACAAGTGTGGACTCTCAATTCTTTTCCAGGAAACAATGTCATCATCGAGCGTGTGGCAAATGCACGCACGCAACCGGACGAGGCAGTCCGGATTGAACGCTGTAGAACGTGTTCCAAAGACGGTCGTGTCTTGACTCAACCTCTGCCCGCATTGCGCAGCTCGCCGAGCCTTGTCCTCGTACGCCAGCTCTCGCTAAAGAGCGCATTGAGCTGTTCCAAGCCCGTGGTGCCTTGGCTGCCCCCAAAGTCTGAGACATTCAGGTCGGCCTCATGTGGGGTCTCGAGCTTCTGGGCAAGCTGGGGTCCGTATGGGGTGATGGTTCGAGTGAGAAAAAGCGCTCAAGGACCGACCACCGTGCGCTATCTGGCCGATACAACCCATAATAACGAGCATGGGGGTTTCCAAGGCACAGACGATACTGTACGGAGAGCACAGCGGCAACAATACGATTACGCCCGAGACTGTATTGGCCGAATTATGTCTTAGCACATGCCGCTGCCCGTAAATGTCGACATGGCTTCTTATTCATGGTACGATTGAAGCCAATTGTTGACTCTGTGCCGAGTATGACAACATTCTTGGCTTGCCCAACCACGCAAGGGTTGACTCAGCAGCAATGAGGGAATTGCGGAAAGATTTTATCAAGTGCTTGCCATTATCAGAGTTATCAAGTGCTGAGTGAGATGCTGAAAAAGTTGCAATGCGCCGAACTTCCCCATGCTTGCCCTTACGCGGCGCATCCCGTCCACACAACCGTCAACGTGGTCCCCCATGCCGGATCGACGGCTAGCACACACAAGCGTGCTGCGGAGATAATAGCCTTTTGCGACCGAGCACGGGGAGAAAAGCAGCAAAGTTGGTATGTCAATGTCCTGTGGCGTAGATTAAGAAACATGAAAGTGCGTGCTGTGAGCCAACAAACACCGGGAAATCCGCCTCAATGCTCATGATTCGGAAAGTAGACGATTACTTTTCCCCCTTACGGTCTTCTTCCCCCATCAGGGCTTCATGGGTCTACCGGCTATGCTATGGGGTCTCCTCATGATTCAATTGGCCTCTTGTCATTGCCAAAAGAATCAAGGCCGTCCAACATGCGAGGACAAGGATGGGAAAACGCCACTGTCGGAACGCCCCGATTGGAGTCCGAGGAACCCCGTGCAATGCCGAACGTCAACAGCTATATGATCAGCGATTCTTTGGAAGGGTTGCTGCGACCTGCATTTATCGCTCACCTTCGCCGTCCAATAGTTGTCGTCTAGCCGGCTACGGTAGTTTCCAATAGCCGGAAGACGGGCTTCTAATAGTAACAGTTCTGGACGCTGAATGCGCGCACACCACAACCAATACACAATCTAGTTCCACATTCAGCCCAGGCGAAAGACCTTGTATACGCATGGCAAATACATAGCACAAGTGCCATTCTCTCCACCCATGCAATCCATAACGGGAGCGCTGCATCGGATGCGCACCTGGCGCTTCCGTGGGGTTGCAACATTGACCTCGACCTGGATGGAAGGGGAAAGTGGTGATCAAAGCACAGATCGTCATTGGTCCGCTATTAGCCATATAGTACGGAATATTGAATTCACAATGCGTCACGTTGTGTGATATTTGTTTCAACCGATACTCAGCATGGGAAGAATCTGGGGTCGGTCGTATTGCCATCTTTACGGGGTAGGTAGCCAATGTCTAATTAGCAAATGTATAAAGACCCTGGAACTATCTGGATCATGGATCATGCTTTGAACCGGTAACCGCGTGTTGGCCCTGGGAGATATGAGGTTGAAGAGTGGTTCATGGGTTTACTGATGAGGCTCAAGTACAGGCTAAATAGGTGTTCCAGGGAAGCCCTGGCCATCCTTTATTAGCCGCAGGGATTATGTACTCGTATGCCTGCGTCTTGCTGTTTCCTCTGGGGTAATAGGCATCTTCTGGCTGAATTCTGCGCACTATTAATACCTGAGAGATAATAAGTGCTCACATTCGTTACAAACGTTCATCTTCTTCCTATGCTGATCGACATTCGTTCGACGCCAGATAGGTCATGTGTCTCCTTAAACCCTGTGAACATTCGCAGTGTTATCGGCTTGCCGAGACGGCTGTCTATAGTCGTTTCCGGAGGATCTGGCTATCTGGATAAATGTAGGAAAGCAAGATATAGTCTCCAGCCTATATCACTCCGGCACCAAGTTGCGAATGACTGCCAACCGATCTTGAGGAGCGGTTATGCCAATAAGTACATCTTGAGAATGTCAGACTCCTTCGACAAGGATGTCTTCTAGCCTGGTCATACTCTGGTTGTACTGGTTTTGTTTTATCTTTACGAGGAGCCTTTCCTATTCTTTCTCTCTTTCCTTATAACCGGATTGGACGAAAGGAATTCGATGCCTCGATCATGTTATACAACATCACTAATATAGAATAGGCTGCTAGGACTCAACTGACCGTCATCTTTACCAACTCAGATACTACCTGGCCATTTAACCGTAAATTAAAGGTGCCTCAACCTAACAAGCAGCTAGGAACCAACAATCTCTATCTCGACATCATTAATGAGGAACCAAAAGTTTAGGCAGCCTCTCATCGGGTAGAAGCTTTTGTCGAGTGTACCATCTTCAGACACATGGTCGGATTCGGAGTCAAAGGTAACCCGAGCACTTTTATGCCTGACCGGATCACGCACGCCTGCGGGATCGGTGATTTGGTAAGAAGCAGAATCGTAAAACATGCTTAGAGGCTTCCGCCAACTTTGGACTCGATCCCAACCGAGGCGGCATTGTCCAACGGTTCTTTTCGAGCCGTTCTCGTATTCGAATAGGATGCCTTTGCATAGGTTTCGGAGCTCATCGCTGAAAACGTGTACATCTAAGACACCCTCAAGAGATGCGAATGAGAAGAATGCGCGATGAAGCGGCCAATCTTGGCGTTGAACATTCGGCTCGGCAGTCTCAGTCTGTTTATCAGCATCTGTTCCGATGAATTCCATCGAACCAGAGCTAGGGACATGGTGAATGAGGGCCAAGGGCCGTCGTGTGTCCCCCGCCTCGTACAAAGTTCCTACAGCAGGCTCCCATGAAAAGGTACCCGGTCCATTTCTCTGGTATTCACGAGTTTGGGGACATCCAGCTATAAATTTTCCGGTCTCTGTACCTATAAGCTTGGGGGTCAGTTTTTTTGCCAGTTCGAGCGAAACTCCATTCGCCTACTCACTGTGAAATGATGTGGTCTCTCTTTTTCTGTTACGTATTTCCTGATATCAATTGCAGTGATCTGATCTTGGGCTGTGAGCGGTATGTAAATCCAGACGATTTCATGGCCAATCATGGAGCGGAGATACTCGAATCTCTCTAGATGGGTTGAGTGTCGTTTTGAATGAGCATGGATCTCATGCACAAGGTGTGAATTTATAAAGAGAGAGATCCCAGTGCAATACTCTGGATCTAATCGAATGGCTGCGAAACGGTTGTGTTGATCAAGACCTTCAGAAGGCAAAAATCGCATCAGATGAATGGGATCTGGGTCACTCCAGATGGTGATTTGTCGTTTTCTCGGGACTTGAAGACGACACAATCCGAGCTAGGGAAGTTGGCTATATGAGCTTCTGCGTTTGATTTGAAAAGATGGTCGCGTACCTCGAATTTTAGCTTATCATCTGATAGTTTTTCTATCGGCTCTACTGCAAATACGCAGGAGGAAGCCCGTATCTCACCAGCCGTGCTGGCTGGAACATCAGAAAATCAGTCTATGCTCTTGATACCGCGATGGTCAATTGTAAATCTGATGAAAGAGCCGGCAAGGCTCTTATCTTGCACCACTTTAGGAGGGCTGCCACGAGACCATGACAGGATTTTGGGGACGTCGTAGATGACTGCTGCTTCCGCCTTTGCCGATCCAAGTTCTTGTGCTAGTTGGATGGCTGAGCAGTACCTCCAGATAATATGCAATTTCGAGTAGCTCTGAATCAGTCGAACAACCTCGGGTAAGAAGATCTTTTGAAAGCCGCATAGTTTGCTAATAATCTCAGGTTGAGGAAAAGCGAGAGTGGTGCTGCTGGGGAATTTGAGCGGCTGCATCTTGCGCCAGGCATACCGTCTTGTTCCCGCTAGCCAGAGGCGTCTATACTTCTCATTCTTTTGTTCAGGGCTGTTTTCGCCGTCTCCAATGGCGCAATGCTTCTCGAACAGCTCAAAGCAATCTGTGTGTACGGATATACTCTCTTCAACAATCTGGCACTGGCGGCAATGAGCCTTCTTGCAGAATACGTTTTCTACCTCGGGTGGAGCGTCAAGAAGAGAGCTGTCGTTTTCTGCATCTGGGAGGACAAGTTCCGGCTGTCTCATACTTGAGCACAAAGCACAGTCAGAGCGCCTGCAGAACATTGAATGCAAGTCCCTTTTCCTCTGCTGTTCGCGATCTTGCGATATGCTCGTGAAGAGTAAGTTCTTGTATATATCGAGTGACGAGTTTCTGTAGACCACTTTATCATGTTTTAGTAAGATGGGCTTCCTGCTATCTGCTCGAAAAGGTTCCTCATACATGCGACTAGGGTTTCACCTGGTCTGAAAAGTTGACTGCAAGCTGCACATTGGTGGTGAATCGTGGTATGCAAAACTTTACGAGCCATATCTAGAAATCTTTCTCCCTATCTGAGAGGATGAATTCGTGCAAACGGTTTAGGTAGCGACAATTGCAATATGTAGGAAGCAAAGTTCGAGAGTGTTTATTAGGCAGAACTATGGTCTATGTCCGATTAATTTGTCGTTGCATGTGGTAAGATGTTTACGAAAGCACCAAGCAGGGATCGGAAAATAAGGCATCTAAGGGTAAACATCTTTTCTCTTTCATCATCAATACTCCGTATTTCCATCAATGTTAGGAGAGAATGAGTTGTTCATCTATGATGGTTCGTCAGATGTAGTGCAACATCATAACCCGCAAGGATATTGCTGTTTCACGATCTTCCACCACCACCAAAGCCAATCCAGCTAATAGGCCAGCCTGAATTCTATCCACACTCTATTTAAATGAAATATCGCACCAGTGACAAAGAAAGCCCAACTGATTGGGCAGTTCACACATAAATCCGCAACAAAAGCCAAATAATTACAGGGTAAGTAGCGCTCTCCCCCAACGCATCAAAATCCTTACATAATCCCAAACGCGGGCAGCCAGCCACTCGCGCCACAGTTCATGCTTTAGCTGTGGAAAGTCGCCTCACATTCTCGACCTTGCCAATTTCCCAGTCAACCAAAAACGCAAAAAAGAAGGCTGGCCTACTGGAAAAATCTTTGGCAAACGGAAGGCATCGCCAAACGGAGACGTTTTTTTTTTTGACATGAAGTTGTGAAGACGCGCGTCGCTGATGGTCCTGCATTGAGTGCTGTGGAAGTCAACGGAATCGATCCTGTTAGGAAGAATCTCTTAGTCGTTTGTGTGTGGCAGGTGAGTTGGTTCATCGCAGATGTCGTCTTTTTCTTTCCCTCGTCTTTTATTCACGACGCCATGGTCGCGCTCCTCGATGCTCAAGGCTATGAGATTCTCAAATCTTTTAGGTCGAAGAATGAATCTTGCCTAGTGGCATTGTCGGTAGCATGAACAGTCTCCATTCTTTATGAAATTCCGATACGCCCGTTTGCATCCATACACCGATCTGCATGTTACATGCACATCAGATCGCCCGCTCTGGGGCTGTTGTGATCTATTGCTTGCTGTACACATTTAAAAATTGCTGACAACCTATTCCATCAGATAATTGATCTGCGATGTCTTCCGATCCGCCCTCCAAAGAAGTCGTTGCCTCAGATGGCGCTGCGGCCAACGGCACCACAAACGTCACTGCGAACGGAACTCCAAACGAGAATAAGACTAGAAAACCATTTTCGTGGACGTAAGTTGCTACGCCATATCAGCCATTTCATTATGCAGGCACTGACACCTTTCATTGCAGCCAACCGCATCCCATCTTCGTAATCGTCTTAGTTGGTCCCAATGAGCAGCCGTTTGGCCTCCAGAAAGACTTCCTCTGCGATCGCTCTGAGTACTATCGTAAGCATTTCGAAGAAAGTGTCACAGAAAAGGCTTTGGAGCACATAGTGAAGCTCCCGGATGCGACACCCGAAGTATTTGGGCTTGTACAAAGTTATCTGTACACCGGAAAAATCACAGACGAAAGCACCAACGTCACTTCCTACGAATCTCTGGTCGGCCTTTGGAATCTGGGCCATAAACTTGCCGTCAAGGGGCTATGTGAGCATACACTCGAGGCCATGGTAGATTGCCGGCGAACTACAGGCCGAATTCCAGCAACGCCTCTTCTCATCCAGGTGTGGCGAGATACTCCTGAGGGTTCATCCATTAGAGTTCTCTTGCTGTCCTGGGCGGCTGAGTACATGAGGTCTTCAGATGCTCGAGCCGAATTTGCCAAGTCACTGCCCCAAGAGGTCCTCAGCGAGCTTGTCGTCACAATGAGCTCGTTTGAGACGATTGCTCCTCCAGCTCCTGCTGTGGCTCCAGCGGTGCCTGCAGTTACCTCTGTGGCTGTTGTCTCGGCCCTCCCTCCAAGCTCTATCAAATCATCAAATACTTCAATTCCAACAATGCTCAGGAAGAATGTTCATTACCTTGACGAGGGCCCAGACGAGGAAACCCTTGCAGCAAAGAAGAAGAATAGACGATCCAGCGCAGTGTCGGTCGATACAGGCTCATCCCGCAAAACACATCGCAAGTCTGGCTCTTCCCCACCTCCCAAACCACAGAAGAGGCGCTCGAGCGCAGCCTTGTTAGAGGGCAAAATATTCTCAACTCAGCAGAAGCTCGATTTCTGCGCCGACTTATTGAACAGAATGCTCTCTGGGCCAGGTAAGCACTGCAGCATCACTGACTACATTTACCGTAGTGTTTGCATCTGAATAACAACTTTATAGGCTTTTGGACCCGGCTGGTTGGGCCTTTTCGAGAGCCTGTCGACCCTGTCGAAGACGGTGTGCCAGATTACTTTGACAAGGTCAAGAAACCAATGGATCTTAGCACGGTCAAACAGAAAATGGACCAGAAACAGTACACAACCGAAGAAGAATTCCTTGTTGACGTGCGACAAATCTTTGACAACTGTTTCACGTACTGGAAGAAAGGCGACCCAATGTGGGCGGCTGGCGAGAGACTGCAACGAACATTTGAAGAAAAGTACTCTCATATGAACAAGTGGATCGCCAAGCTGGGAGGCGAAGAGGGCGAATAGGAAGACTCTCAGCCTGATACCGAGACAGTGACGGGAGCGAGTGCTTTACTAACAGCGGCGGGAGCGAGTGCCTTACTGAAACTTCGTTCCCCGCGGCGAGGTCAGGGCAAAAAGCAATAACTGGGTTTGTGTGCAATTTGTACAGTTTTAGGGATTGTGTTTTATGATTGTGAGAATTCGGGAGAGGGTCTCCCAATGAGGGCCACACGCCTATGGATGAGAATTGGTAAAGTGTAGGTCTACTATGGGATTTCAAGCCATGGCTTGCAAACAGGTTGGGATGTAATGATGCTTTGGGGGCTCAGAACCGTGGGTTCCAAGTGAAAAGGCTGTAGGAATAAGGGACTGTGTTAATATTACGAGAATCAATATCTTTATTTTTACGGGAGTAGGCCGGTTGGTGCTGCAATTTAGCAAGAGGGTGTGATGATGTGGCAATGTGATCCATCCAACATCGTTCAGTGGCTGGAGCAAATGAAAGACAGATGATTATGCACCGTTCGGCAGATACAATTGGCGACGATCACCAGGTAGCTCAAACTAAAATCGTTCGTTTAGAGTTTGCACTGCACCTCATCGGCCTTCAGGGAGGGATTACTATGAATAGTAAGCAGCGCTTGGAGCAATGCTGTTTTGAACGGCTCGTACGAAGTAACACATCACGAAATGGAAAATCTTGCGTTTTACCTGATTCCAATATCGCTTGGTCCATGACCACGTGTCGGTGAGATTGCGTTGCATTTATCAGGTCGCACTGCGTTGTTGTGCTGCTACGAGACAGAACACAAAGTAGGTAGTATGCAGCGTGTGCGTCGTCGTTGGTTTGCCCTCCCTTTTCTGCCTCACTCTCGAGAGGGATGGCAATTGACAGCTTAACACCACCTGTTAGAGGTTAGAGAATGTCGCCCTTTCTTTCTGTTTGACCCTCGAACATGTTCCTCCCTGGTAGCCGAGCCTGGGCGGGCTTCATCAATGAGGCATAAGACCGGGGTATCTGGACATGGTGAGACAACACGTGAATTGGATGGGGACACGCATGATGGCGTGGGAGGAGAGCGAGATGCGCAATGTCGGATGCGTGCAGGTCTGAGATGGCGGCCCAATAAATGTGTTGTTATGTGTTATGTAGGTACGCGTGTGCCACCATTACTGCTGCTGGCCGCAGATTTTGCCTTTACAACTGGCCATGTGCGTGCAACAACCTTATTATACTCTCCTCGTTGTGCGGGCGTGCGCGTGGATGAGGCGTTTATTAGTAGACTAGTGGGTGCCTGATGAGTTGGCGTTTCGTGAAACCTGGAGGATTGCGATAATTCCATCAACAATGCATGCATTTCGGATAAATGAGACGCCGCCAACGGCAATCAAACATCCATCGCCATCCTCGGCTTGCTTCGTACAAGGACAGTACGAGTACTCCGCAAAATGGCCGACGTCGCTTAATTCCTCCCCCCAGGGTGGTTCATCTTCATCGCAGCGATCTCGACTGAAGCGAAAGCACATTTGTAAAAAGCGACACTTTCGTCACCGCCAACAGAACGCACGCGCCATGTGCCCAATATCCGCTCGCAGAGTCAGTTTGAAGCGGGCGGCGCATCCAGAGTGGAGGCGGGAAATGAGCAGCCAAGCCCGCCCATTTGCTGAGGTGCCGTGAGTGGCTGCTTTCTGTGCCTGGTACCTTGCAGCTAGGCGCTGATTTAGCCTCGTGTTGTTGCTTCAAGGTCTGGGGCTAGCATGTTCTGGGCCATTGGCGCCGGGGCGGGTTGAAGCTGAGTGGCAAGGGCTAGAAGAAGAAGAAGAAGAGAAGCCATCGTGGGCGGTAAGCAGATGGAATCAACAGACTCCTATAATGGAGAGGCAGTAGATGAAATAAATGGCAAGAAATAAAAATAAAATGCATTCAGGCACAAACAAGGTCGCGTCACTTCGCATCTGCTCTCGCCTTGCCTCGTCTCGTCTTGTCTCGTCAGGTTTCGTCTCGTTTCGCCCAGTGTCCTGCTTTCTCGCAGCGCCATTTGGGAAATGAGAGGTTGAGAAAAAGGAGTTGCAGGGGTGTCCATGCACAGACTCGCCCAAAGTATCTCACCAACACTCCAAGCTGTGTTTGGTACCTTGCGCGCCAGCTTGGCGGCAATTGGCTTCTCCGCTTCAAGGGGCCCCTGCTTGTCTCTCGCTTCCCCATCCACATCACGAAAAGCTTTTTCTTCTCTCTCTCCCGCCTTCGTTTCGCCTCTTACAGCTTTATTCACGTTCGTTGAAACAACCAGAGTATTATACTCGTTACGCTCTTTTTTCGTGTCGCCATACGCATCAACGCTATCGCGCATCTTTGCACTCATTTCGCAAACCGTTTTCACGAGACAATCAACAAACCCCACGTCCTACACGACACAACACGCGAAACCATCGCCACCACTGTCCTTCTCAAGTCAAGATGCTCTTCCGAACTGCCACCTCTGTTGCCCTCCTGGCCTGCGCCGTCAGCGTCAGCGCCGAGCCCAAGCCTTACCGCCTGGCCATGATGCCCGTGCTTGGACAGAGCCTTGCGCGCCGCAGCACCAATGGATACCAGCCTGAGCTGTCTCAGTGCCACGATGGCGACACTTGTGCCGAAGCCTGCGGCTCTGAGTACACCGAGTGCGCTTCCAGCGGCAAGGAGACTCACTGCTACAACCCATCCGTGAAGCAGAGCTGCTGTGCTGATGGCTCTGGCAGTATGTTTAACATGTAATGAATGATATACGCGTGGGATGATGGCTAACGAGCGTGACAGACTCTTGCGACGAGGGCTACTACTGCACTCACGACCACGCTCTCAAGACCTGGTGCTGCCCGGAGAACATGGATCTCGCTGCTTGCGCCGCTGCTTATAGTGTTGCCGGCGGCCTCGAGTCCGCCACTCCTACTTCGACCAGCACTTCCAGCACCAGCACCAGCACCAGCACCAGCACCTCAACCACCAGCACGACTGTTGTCACCACCAGCGCTGCTCCTACCACCACCAGCACCACTGAGGCTCCCACAACCACTGCTGCCCCTACCACCACCAAGGCTCCTACGACTACCAAGGCTCCCGCCACCACCGTGACCAAGGTTGATGAGGAGACCACCACTGTTCCTTGCACCACCAGTGCTGGATTCACCAGCGCCTACACCGGCTTTAACAGCACCGTTACCAGCTCTGTGCCTAACCAGCCTAACCAGTCCAAGACTCCTCTTCCTCCTGTCGCGTCCATCTCCACTGGCGCTCCTCAGCCTCCCCAGCCTTCCACCATCAGCGGTGCTGCCACCACCAGTGCCAGCGCTCTGCTGCTCCTCGCCGCCGGTGTCATCGCTCTTTTGTAAATATCGTGACGGAGTAGAGACGTGGTTTCTACGTCGGGTAGCCAAGGGACAAAAGAGTTCACTGCTCAGCGCAGCCACGAGGTTACGAGTCTACGAATAGCGATATATGGGGCGGTGTCTTGGGAGGGGAAGACTGATTTTTTTTTTCAGGGGCATCTTCTCTGGGCTTTTGTTTTATGCATCTTGTGGTTTCTAAATTTTTTATTAAAAATAGTGCGATGATTCCCCTTCGATAGTTGTTGCAATCTCCATCTTCACATTTATTGGAGTTGTAGCAGAGATTTTGGTTTTTCTTTAGGAGGTTAATATGTTCTGGTGGAAGGAAGAGAAATTGAAAGATATAAAACAAAAAAAGATGCTTAACTGTGCAAAGATGGTGACAGTTGCTTGAAATCATACCCACACAATATGTACCCAACACATACCTTGAACTTACATTTATTAGTACCTATTAGTATTAGTATTCATCTCTTGACGAGAAGATTCCTTTTGTTCTCTTCTATACTTTGTTCTGCGTCTCGTAGGAGCCTCAATCTTCACTCTCAAACAATCGTATCAAGAACCTACCCCTTCTCTATTTGCTTCATTATGACCGAGCCAAAGTCATCGGTACGTATGTTCTGACTATGATATCATCATTTTGATTTCATCATCATCTATGAACCTGCATCCATGCGTGTCGTATGCACAGATGCAGATGTGGCCGTAGCTGCAGATACGGGAAGTCTGAAAATCGTGGGGAAAATAGGGGGCAAGCGAAGCGCTAGGGGGGGAAACGCGCGGGAGCTCTTCAGATTCGAGATGCGGTTCACTGCCACCTCCGCATTCTCGTTTTCGCCTATGCGGCTTGATGTCTGATCTGCACTGCATTATGTAAATTCTGATTTGTCAATTGTCGCGTAAAGGCATGACTCTTTGGGTCAATTGGAGTGTTTGAGTGTGTATGGCTGAAATGTAGTGAGGCGGTGGCGTGTGTGTTCTTGCATCTTTGCTGCGACGGTTTCATAACTACATACTACCTAAGGTACCTAGTAATGAACTACCTAGATTTTGTAGAAAGAAGATTAAACGTCTCATTGTTAACCTACCTTATATGTACTATCCAAGGTATTACCTACATGACGTTAGGGGAATACAGTGTTTTTACGCCAAACGCCTCACTGTATGCGTTCTACGATGCCGCCTCCCTCCTCTCCCACTGCTCGAGCAGTTGTCCAAAAAGTAAAGAATGGAACCTGCCAATATATTATGCCTAATGGCAGATGATATTCAATTCAAGTTACATCTTATACGGGTGACGAGGTGATTATGAAGAAGTAGAGAGCCACCTAAATGAGAGGAATGAAAGGAAGCGTCTCTTACATCCCCCCTTCAACACCAACAAACATATATTGCTGTATACTGATGGAACCAACTGGGCTGCAAGCAAGCGGCAAGCCCCATTTCAGATTCTTTTTTAAGCAGCGATTCTCGAGTTGCCCCAAATACTACTATTATTTCCACCGGCGTGTTAGAAATGACTAGAAAGAAAAGCCGTATTTGAGAAGATACAAAGATTCGGAGAGAGGAGAAAAACTAATTTAAGCATACGAATCACCCTGAATCTAAGACATTCTTATGCATAGACAATAGTCTCCCTACTTTGAATGCAACTGAAGCTCCAGCCATTCTTCCCTTGTAATTGCGTATTCAACTTCACCATCCTCCGACCCAGGAATAGGATCCTCAAACTCAATATACAAAGTACGTACATGCTGCATCCCACAGGCCTTCATGGTCGCTCTTGACGCCTCATTTACAGCCATCGTCTGCCCAACAACCTCTAATAAACCCAGTTCTTCAAATCCATACCTTAATAACTCGCGAGCCATTTCTTTAGCATACCCCCGTCGCCAAAAACGAGGTGAGATCCGGTATCCTATCTCGGCTTTTTGTGCATTAAATGTCCCGCTGTTGGATTGTATAGGCGAGAGAGCTGCCCATCCGATAAATGTGTCATCAAGGTAACCTGCCCAATAGCCTAGACCCGGGACTTGTCTGGACGCTGAGAGACGCTCTTGGTGGTCTTGATCAGCTTCCACCCGAGTTAGTGGGCGGCCACGGTGAACGTATTTCATAACTTGAGGGTCGGAATCGAGGTCTATGATATCGTCCCGGTTATGTTGTGCCAAGGGACGGAGGTTGAGACGAGCGGTTCGCAATGTTGGCAGACTCATGTTCTGAGATTCTTGGTCTTGACTTATGGCTTTTATTATTTATACTTTGGGGAGATTAGTTATAAGCGAAATCATCATGCACAATATAGCAGTAAAATAATAATGATGTATAAAACTTCATTCATATCATTGTTGAATAATTTGAAGATGGTTATGTGTACTGACCAAAACCTGCCTCGGCTGCTGTCATTCGGGCGCAGGCACATGTGCACCCAAATGCAGAGGCCGAACCCCTCGTCAAGGCCATTTCTATACAGCCGGTAATAGCCATGGTCGTGATGATACCTACAAATGTGCAAAGTTTGGTGCATATAAATGTGCCATCGAGATTGGAAACAGTCTCAAAATTCTCATTTTTGCAACATGTTTGATTTCCAGAAATTTGACTCTTTTTCCGGAACCAGATGCTGGACAAAGACGTGCACCAGTTTGTCACTGGCAGCCTTGTGAGGACTTCTAATGCAGCGGCCAATGACAGCGACAGGACAGCCATACCAGTGGCCATTTCCCCACAGTGCGGAAAGCAGTCGACCCACTACCACGCAACTCTCCCAGCAAGGCTGAGCGCCTCCATCTTGTCTTGCATTTCATCTACTTCATACACAAACCGTCCAACCCCCACGAACTCACGCCGCCTTCCACGAGCCCCTGAGCCGAGCCCGAGCCCCGAGTCGGCGGCTGCCCGCAAACCATGGCCGACGACCTCGACTCCATCGTCAAGGGCGCCCCAATTGCCGAGGCCGCTGCCAGCGATGCCAATGCCAAACCCGGCTCCGGCGCAAGCCCCTTCTCGCCCGGCACTGGTGCTGGCAAGCCTGGCGACCCGCTGCATCACACGCCCAGCTCCCCTTCCATGATCTATCTCAACCTCTTGATCCTCGAGGCTTCCATGCGCGCCCAGTTCCTCGAGCTGCGCGCCCGGAAGCGACATCACACCTTCTTCCTCGCCATCCTGACGCTCTGGGTCGCCTTCTTTGGTTACAAGCTGTACTTTGCGCCGCGAGAGGATGGACGTGGCGTTGGAGGGTCTATATACTGGGCGGTCGAAGGCGCGCAAAAGGTGTGCTTCATGGGTGGCATTATCACCGCCGCCCTTGTCTGGGCAACGGGCATCTGGGATCGTGGCATCCGGTGGCCACGCCGCTGGTTCGCCATCTCCAACCGAGGCCTGCGCGGCTTCAACTGCAAGTTGGTCATCATCAGACAGACGTGGTGGGCTGAGGCGCTGTCGACCATAGGCTTTTTCCTAACGTACGGCCTCTTTTCGCATACCGCCAGTTCCTCATACCGCCTTGTCGAGCCGCAGCTGCTGCGCCAGGTCGAGAAGGAGCTCCAGCTTACAAGCGATAACCATCCCACCCTAGTCCTCCCCCCCGATGATGACGAACTTGGCGGCCATGAAGAAGATTTGGCGCCTGGTGGCGATTACGTTAAACTATTACTTCTACCGAAGCCGTTCTCGCCTACTTTTCGAGAGAACTGGGAGCTTTACCGCACTGAATACTGGGAGAGGGAGAATGAGCGTCGGCGGTTGCTTCGGCAAAAGGTCAAGGAGCATGACCGGAAAGTCGCAAAGGATCAATACGGTTGGCTGTGGTGGCTCCCCTGGCACCAGAGTCCACAGCCTCGCATCCGTCGCGAACCCCAAAAGATGCCCCATCACCGTCTAGCGAGCTCGGAACGCAAGCGTAGGAACAGCAGCGTGCGCCGCTCCTCGGTGAGCTCCTCGAGAAGCCAAACGCCGTTGGTCTTTGACAGCGATGGCCAAACAACACCGCGCAAACAGGCTCTTGCTGCAGATAAGCGCCGGAAGCAGGGATCTATATCAAAGGTGAAGAGGCCCAGCACTGACTCTCGGTCTGTGACGCCCGATATCCCATCCCGGCTATCTAGAGAGAGCAGCGTGACGGTTGATACGGAGACGGACGGCAGCAGCGGGCGGACGCTACGAAGCACGAGCAAAAGAGCCAGCCCAGCGCCTTTGTCGGCTGATTGATTGATTGAGTGATGATGTCAAGATTATACGAAGGGCATTACTGGAAATGGGACATGGTGTACGGCTTTTCTTTAAGCGTGATGGAAGCATATACTTATTATTCCGCATCACGAAACTTGAGTCTGTGTAATTACGGTGCATTTGTTTTCTCTTGGATTAGACCCCACACAATAAAACAAGGGATGAAAGTCAGCTTGTTGTCCATCCATATAATTGAACGATTTTTATGTTAGACAACTCTCCCTCAATATCTACTCCATACCTTTTATGAGTCACCAGAGCGCTATCTTTTCGTCCACGGATTACCGCTTCGGGAAGTTGATGTCCGAACGAAGACGAACTTTTGATCTGACTCACCATGCAGGATAAAAAACGGCTACTTACAGATACATATCCTTAGCATCATTTCTGAGACAGGTGGGTTCATGAATGTCAGTTGCATTGGTAGGTATCAAATCGATGGATGATAAATTTCTGGAGGATCACTACCGCTGCTGCTAGCTTCGTACACTAGTCCACATGGTCCCTCAACTGGTTTTCGAAGATTACAAGTATCAACGCGAGCTGCTGTAAATAAGTATCCAAAGACTGCATATTTCATCCCTTCAATCCTATCCGCTTTTTTTTATTTTTACAAACACTCATATCACGCTATATCATCTTTGCTTTGCTTTCTTCAATCAAGTCGCCATGTCTCGCGAAATCTCTCACCTCAACACCATCATCCCCTCCCCCTCCAACCCCCTCCTCTTCCTCCGGACCATCCAGCCTTCTGATGCCTCGGCCTTTTCGTCTATTCTGTCTTCACCGTCAAACAAATCCGATCCTCATGGCAAGGACATAGACATCCCAACTGCAGAATTAAGCATCTCCCGCATGAGGGAATCGGCAAGCAAGCCCACCATTCTTGACGCGCAAGGAAATGTTATAAGCGGGCCAAGCCGCGTCAACATGATGCTGGTGCTCAAATCAGAAGATGGAAAAGGTGAGAATGTAATTGGTCTGGGAGGATTCGGAGCGATCAAAGACTGGGAGCGAGGCGGCCAGAAGATTCGGGCTGGCGACGTGGGCGCGATGATGGATCCGGCGTACAAGCGCAAAGGCTACGGTGTTGAAGCAATGAAGATGGCGATAAACTGGGCGTTTTTACCAGCCGTTGAGGGAGGACCTCAGCTTGATTTGGTTACTATCACGACGCTGGAAGATAATGGCCCGATGGTAAACCTTTTAAATGAGAAGTTTGTGTTGGCAGGGAAAGGGATATCAAGACCTGCGGAGTTTGATGCAGACAAGAATGAGATATACTACGAGCTCTCAAAAGAAGACTGGAGGAGCATTGGCGCTAACTGATGTATATATACATACACACAATATTAAACAAGATAATATGTACATAGATGGCAAAGTGAAGTCTGACTCCCATGAATTTCCTCCATCGTCTTAAGGCTGAGCACTCCAGCCGCTCTATAAAACATCACTGCACATAGTATACCTTGTAGAGGTTGAAACTATGTTCACATTCATCTCATACAACCTCGTTCTACCATGGAACACTAGAAGCCATACATCAGCCGTGTAAGCATCAAAGTCTTAATATGAAAGTATTGAGAAGTAATAGAGGAATATAGCATGCGGACATCCATGTAATGCTCATGAACTAAGAGTCGTATATATTTCCTTCACCTTCATGATGTCGCCTATAACCTCTTCCTATAGTCATAACCCTGTTGAACGCAGCTCCAATCACTTGAATTCCAGTCAACCCTGCGAGCACCCACATAACACCAGCGATATAGTGCATTCCCTTGCTCTTTAGAACCTCCCCTGACTCGGCTGAGTACAAGGTTCTGACATCTGCTATGCCGAGAACAAGAAATACCAGCATGGAATTTGTAGTCGTCCAGGCAATCACAAGAAGGGCTTCAAACATCCGAGCTGCGTTCTGCGGCCTCTCCGCCACCTGCAGCGGCGAAGCCATCTTTTGTACCAGTAGAAATCTTCGTTGCTTCATAATGTTAACCTGCTGCTCGTATTGTGCTTCAAGCCTCTCGTCGTTCAATGCATCCATTCTGCCCTTGCCGTTCTGGGTCTCGACCTTGGGAAGTTCGAGAACCGGCTCGGCATCGGCTATAACGTTTCTTAGGTTGAACGTATAGCAAAATGCAAACACGTCAGAGACGTTGACGAGAAATGGCACGAGGATTAGATATTGGATGGACGAAGTGACGATCGGCCAGAGATCTAGATTCAGCAACGAAGCCATCGTCCAGAGCACATATATGAAGAGAACCGCGATGCCAAGTGAAGTTGTCGGATCTCCAAATATTTCACCGGGGCTTGATTGGTCGAGTCGTTCCAGCTGTAAAGATTTGTGTAACATTAGGCAATAGCAAATAAATGCATATCTAAAACACACTGTCAGTACATGGTATACAAGCTTCCAAATATACCTGTATCCGTCGAGCTTATGAGACGTACGTTGTGATGCTCAGCCATACCCAAAACAAAATCGTCGGAATTTTCAAGTTCATCTTCCAGGACTTATTCAAGGTAGATACGAATGCCGTTGTGAGGGAAACATCATACAGCCACTCCAGTACTAATCCTGTCACGTATCCGCCGATTCCCCAAAAGCCTGGGGACCCTACGCTTGTCGTTAACACTTTGAAGTATATGAATATGTTGCCTAAAGCAAACCATGCGAAAAGCAGCTCGAAGGATTCAAACGCGAGTTGGATTGTAAAAGCCACCTTCCGAACAATAGAATGTCTTGAGTTGAATATTTCATGATAATGTGTGATGGAGTAAATTGTATCCAGAAAGTACGCATTGACTGGTCTACGCCGCATGAAAAGGAGTTCACCGATAGAATCTATCCCATATTCCGTCGCAATCGCCGAAGTGGAATGTCGAATTACCCAACGAGAATTCGGTCTGGTGATCAGCGCAAAGAACACCAAGCGTAAGCTGGCCAGCCTCATGCGCGCAGCATGTAGTGTAGCGCCAGATAACGTATCCGGAGGTTCATTGGCTTCAAAATAGCTGTCCAGAGGACTCTTTCCCGTCTCATCGTCAAGGAGGGCTTCGTATCTGAAGGCGCAGAGCTTAGCAGGCGAGACTAGAACAAAGCCAAAGGCTGATTCAAACGGTAGGGTGAGGCAGTTTTGGAGGTGCTGTTCGAATTTGGACGCCGATCCGACAATTTGAAAGATTTCCCAGAAGCTCGTGTCTGGTCTGACTCTACCACAAACTGCTGCACACATGGGTTCGGCAGCCAAAGCTTGCCAGAGCTCGTAGATGGCGATACTACCAAGCCTTGTATCCGACTGGATAGGCACACACATGACCGGGTCCAACACACGAGCAAACCCTCGATATGCCCATTTCTCAGAACGTATCATGGTCAAGTTGCGTTCTTGAAGGCAAAAGAGTATTTGAATTGGAAACTCGTATTGTTTTGCGGTTAGGTATACTTTGTCGCGAACAATCTGGAGGCCGGTCTGGGTTGTGTGCTCGTAAAGGTGAGCCACCACATCTCTACCATTGACTTGTCGCCTTGCTATGCTCTCTTGGTAGATGCCCATACATGACAACAGGGCTTTCGTTTGCGGGTCTATGTTGTATCTTCCGGCGCTTAGAATACAAACAACTATGTTCTTCCATGATTGATCTCCCCATTGCTTGCAGAGGTATTGTACGTTATTGAACACACGCTCCATCGTCTCAGCAAAGAGTATGTCGTCTTCATTGTACATGTAGACGTTGATCATTATCTTGGTGCGGCGCGGAGATGCGAAAAGTGTTTGTCTCAAAGTGAAGCCTTCATCAATAAACTCATGAGGCTCACAAGTGATGGCCGTGTATCGTGTGTGCGTGAATTCGATGTCATCACTCTCCACAGAGCTCCTGAGAGAGGGTGGAATGGGACAATCGATCACAAAATTTCCTTTGTCAAGGAAGAATGGTGTCTTGGTTGGTTGTTTTCTGGATCGAGCCCCAGTCCGATTATTGAAGTGCCCAGGGGATATTTCATGTTGCTCTACTAGAATTGGCGAACTTTTAGAAACGTGATGTCCTGAGCCTTGAGGATTTTGAGCTATTGGGTGCTCAGTGTCAATCTCGTCTTCTTGTGGTAATGCATCGTAGCCTGGTTTCTGTTGCGACATGATGCTGGTTTCAATGGTGACTAAACGATGAGAGGACAGGCGTCTCGTGAATTAGCGATACACCAGAGTCGGATATATGACAATGGTAAGATCGATGGTAGGCTTCTCATTCTCATCCTTTTCTTCACCTAGCGCCTATTCTCATCTTGGAGAGCCGAAATGGAGGCGGGGATGCGGCTGAAAGAGGGAGGGGTTTCATCACGATGCCCGTCCGCAGTAGCGGTCGAATAGTTCATTTCAGCTGATGCATAGACCAGTGACAATTGGCCACAAGCGCACTCATTCCTGATTCGTGACAGCAGATGCATAAGGCGTACTCGTAGGCAGGGAGTAGCGTGTAGTGTCGATCTATCGATTTCAAGGCAGAACTATCTTCGATTCATAATCTTCTGCCTAAGTAGCAATCTATACATCACTCTGTCGCGTATATTCCCGTGGTTCGCAGGGTCTGAAGGAGGGATTGAAGTCTGCGCCGAAGTTGAACAGCATCGTCGACATATTGACACCATGTCTCTGCCATATCAATACACCAAGTTATCTCCAGCGGCAAGTACTCGGATCTTGGAGCTTCAACCATCGCACGAGCAGGATGGCCCGCTACGATGTAAGCTATGTGAGATTAATATAGAATCCGACCCATTCTATGAAGCCCTATCATATACCTGGGGTAAACCAGAGTTCACACAACCACTCATTCTTGAGGACGAGTTCGTAATATACATCACTCCAAATCTTCGCGATGCTCTGCTACGGTTTCGATCCAAACTCAACGTACGGCGTCTTTGGGTCGACGCCATCTGCATTAACCAGCAAGATGATGACGACAAAGCGAAACAAATTCCTCTCATGACTGAGATATATAGGCGTTGTTCGGGAGTCTTGGTTTGGTTGGGCATTGATGCTCGCGGATCATCGTCAATGGAGGCTGTTAATGCGTTTTCTCGACAAATCGATCATCAAGACGATGAGAGCATTATCCAAGATGACTTGGAGTCCCTTGTTCGCTTACCTTGGTTTGGTCGGCGCTGGATTGTCCAGGAGGTCGTTCTCAACCCAAACGTGACTCTTTTCTGTGGCGAAACCCAGATCCCGTGGCTTCGTCTCCTCCAGGTCGTCCGGAGTAGTCAAAACGTCAGCGGACTATTGTCGGTGGTGAAGACGATGGAGTCAATTTGGATATATCACTGTCTCGGAATCGAAGCCGGTTCACAGGCATCTCTACGACTGATAGACCTCCTGTCCATTTTATCTGAGCTGGGATGCGTGGACGCCCGCGACCGTATATACGCGCTCGCTGGTCTTGCTTCCGATACATTTCTCACCCAGCCCGGTGAGGTTAGTCGGGATCCGAGAGAGATTAAAGTCGCTGTGAGCTATAACACACCGGCCGAAAACCTATACATGGATCTCATTACTACGAACTTTCGCTGTTTCGACTATCGAGATCTTCTAAAACACACCGATCTTAGGGCAGACGGATTGCGCTTGGGCGGACTCTCCTCTTGGGTTCCTGACTGGAGGCTACCAGTAGTTAGACAGACGCTCTCAGGGGGATGGAGTCTTGAGGGGTCACCCAAAGTATCCCTTGATGCTGATTTGAACGCTCTACATATTCAGTTCCGAAAGAAACAGGGCGATCCTGGGTATATCATCCACTCATCGATTGAGAAAATCTCAAATGCCTTTCCTCTCAATGCTTCTCCGAATGCTATCATGGATTGGATCAAAGAAGTTTGGGATCTCTTACTCGGATGGGCTACGGCAGCAACTCGGGAGCTCTTGATACATCAACTCGGAATGATCTTCTTCCAAGACCACATGAAAGATGAGTGGTCCAAGGCAATCGCCAATTATGATTGGCAAATGTACTATTTTAAGGGCTATGCAGAATTCACGGAGATGATGCTGAAAGGATCGGAATATTCTCAGGACGAGAAGTTGTTCACGTTGCTTAAACGCACCATGGAAGGACGTCGACTTTTTCTATTATCGCCCAAGCCTGGGCGACCGACATCAAGCAACGATGAATCCAAGTCTATCAGCACCTCTGACCGGCCTGCAATCGGAATAGGCCCGTCACACGCACACCCTGGTGACCTTGTCTGTACTAGAGAAACCACCACAAAGACATGGGCTGGGATTTCACACGCCTGTACTGCCGACTCTACTTTCTTGCTTCGCGGGACTGGAGATGGTGTGACACAAGACAGATTTTTCTATATAGGCGAGGCCAGGGCTAATCGACGCCATGCTGAAGGCGCAGCTTGGGGAACAGGGCACAGACTACACTCCATCATCTTATGTTAAGCATGCTGGACCTCTCATGTCATTTCACGGGCGACAGGCTGGCAAAACCTGGCGAGATGAGGTGAGACGTCAAATGGCTATATTTATCTATGATATTTGAACACGAAGAATTAGGACAATCAATTACAACAACTTCTGTCAGAAAAAGCAGGCCAAAATTCCCTCCAGATCGATACATAAAGTTAAACACAGCCTCCACAACACGCAGTCAAATGATGAAACAAAAGGACACTCATGATCCTCAACCCATCTCCATGCTAGTCCTGTTGACTTGGCTCGAATCTCGCCAGAGCAATAGCCGCAGTATAATGTTTGCAAAGTGTTAAGGATGTTCGAGCCGAATAAGCGCAGGTGGTATATGATATAAACCGTGTCATTCATCCTTGAAAGATGGATCTGTAAATGACAAAGACAATCTTGACGAAAGGGACATCAGAGGTGTTGATTACACATGTGCCGCACCGATTCAATTAGCATTAGACATTATTTTCCACCGGGTGAAGTGTCAATATCGGCGAGTTGCTTCGCCACGGAAGGCGGAGGGCTCGTTTGGACCAGACCTCCGGATCTTTGGCCTGCTTGCTTGGCATTTCGAGGCTGCATGTAGTTGGCCGGCAAATTGGCAGACACCGTTGCCTTGGCGTCCTGGTACAAATCGAAGCACTCCGCGAGAATCTGGTCAGCAGTTTGGTCCGCCGGAGCAATACCCGAGTCGAGGATTTCCTTGATGTGGTCTTCCAGTGCTTCGAACTCGGATTTGTCGTACCGATATCGATCAGGCAATCCACTGTTCTGCAAAAAGGCAAGTAGGCCAGCGATGACAGTGTTTGCAGCTCCCAGAATCGTGATTGGAGTACCTTGGGAAAAGGACATGGAGCCAAGAGCCGTCAGCGTCGCCCCAATGAAGAGCTGTAGCAGCATCAAGATCCATCTGATGCCACTAGACGCATGGTGTAGGTAGAAGAACTTGGTGCGCTGAGTCACAGTATCCTTGTACAAACCCCGAGGCATGCCCCTGGGTGGCCAAACCCAACTGGTTGGATGAATGGGCGTATGCTGCTCCCGATCTCGAATGCCGCCTATTCCATGAGCAACGACGCCCCATTCTGTAGGCGAAAGGAACCTATGACGAGGTGTCTGGTGGTGATGCTCATCTCCTGGAGACCTGTGAGGCTTGGGCGGCGAAGAATCCTTAGGAGAGCCACTAGGCACTGGGGCCATAAGCTTGGGAAGATCCCCATGAGTATGAGAACCTGTAGACGGCATAGGAGGGTTATTGGTCCCCACAGAGAGAGGAGGAAGCGTGGGAGCTTCGGTGTTTGGATGTCCCTTTGCTGGCTTGGACATGATGGACTGGAGATGCTGCCACGATTGAAGGAATAGGGACAGGATTCTGAAACTGCTGTCTGCTGGGTTGGACACTGGGCTCGAGCGATACCAAGAACTCCGTGTTTGAAGCACAGATGAAGACAAAAAGACGATGAAGGTGAAGAGCCATGGCTTCAGAGCGAGAGAGAAAAGTAATTTCGTTCATGTCGGCTAATTCTTCGTCTGGATCAGCGGAAAGAAAGAGGCAGAGAGCGTGCTGGGCTCAACATTCACAAAAGCTCCTACCTGTCGTTGAAAGGCAGCAGAGTACCTGCGCATCAAGTTGCATTGGCACATGGCGAGACGAGAATAAGCGAAGACATGACATCAGCTTTTTCTTTGGCGATTAGGTGCTATCGCGCAACACGAGAAGCAGTAGAAAAGGGCATCTCGACATGCATGGAAGGACAGACCACTTGTAGCGTTGACCGAATATTTTAAGAGCGGGCATGATGAGGACATATGATATGAAGAGTAGCCGGTAGTGGCATATAAATTTGGAGTGTCTATCGATGCCATTATGGATGTCACATGTAAGTCATGCTTGCTGGATATTGCGAGGTTAGGTAGCGTTCGATAGCAGGCAATCCATCCAAACAGCTGAGTTGCTTATTCTCCCAAACACATGTGACGCGACCAGATGAATATTCGAACTGTAAAACTTGGCAAAATATGTGATCTGTTTGAGACGAGCATTACAAGCTGCAACTGAAGCAACAGGAATCAACGGCAGCATTGAGGCATGTACAGTACCAGGTTTAGGTAGTGGGGCTGGCTGTTTCACCGCTTTGGAGCAAGCGGCAGAATATCAAAAAAATTGTGGGCTTGAGAGCTTGCCGACTTGAAGCTTTTCTCAGTCATCAGGATCGCAAACAGTTTGTTGCCCAAAGGTGCAGTTGGATATTGCATGTTTCGCTGCACTTCTTCCCTAAAGCTTCTGCTGCGTCTTCCGGGAACAGTGAGACCCGCCAGTCCCTACGGCAGTATCGCCCCAAAAGTCAACACACTCACGACCCGGCGCCTCATTAGCAGAAATTCTCCCAATTGGTCTTCTTCAATTGCGCCAATGGCAGGCACCGTCGAAATTGAAACCGTGGAGAAGGATGGGAAGCAGTTCCGCGTGGTCAAGGAAGGCAAGGCAACCATCCTGGTGCCTCAGGGTGCCAAGATTGGAGAGGACCGAGGAGAGGTGCAGCAGGTGTTTTACAATCCGATCCAGCAGTACAACCGAGACCTGTCTGTTCTTGCCATCAAAACATACGGAGAAGACATCTTGGCGAAAAGGAAAGAGAAGATTCTGGCAAGATCGAATAAGCACAGCAAAAAGCGAAAGCGAGACGAGAAAGATGACGGCAACAATTCTATCGAAACAGAAGCGACGGCGGACGTGGCGCCAGACATGGCTACTGAAGCTTTAGATGAGCAAAAGGGTCACAAATCGACATTCAGAATACTGGACGCCTTGTCAGCATCTGGACTGCGAGCGCTGCGATATGGCCATGAACTCCCTTTTGTCACCTCTATCAACGCAAACGACCTCTCCAAATCGGCGGCCGAGTCTATCAAGCTCAATGTGAATCACAACGGTCTCGATGATATAATCTCAGTAACGAATGAAGATGCTCTTGCGCACATGTATCGTGCAATCGCAGATGGCCTCTCCAAGAGGGATCGCCACGGAAATCCCACCAAGTCTCACAAATTCGATGTCATCGACCTAGATCCGTACGGCACTGCAGCACCTTTTTTCGACGCCGCATTACAATCGGTTAGAGATGACGGAGGCCTTCTTTGCATCACTTGCACTGATAGTGCTGTTTGGGCGGGCCATAGCTACTGCGAAAAGACATTTGCCCTGTACGGCGGTACCCCTATCAAGGGAATGCATTCGCATGAAGCTGGCTTGCGGCTAATTCTGAATGCTGTTGCGACTTCTGGCGCCCGATATGGTCTGGCCATCGAACCCCTGCTCTCTCTTTCCATCGATTTCTACACAAAAGTTTTCATCAAGGTCACCAGATCACCGCAGGCCGTGAAATTCTTGGGGTCCAAAACCATGGTGGTATACAGCTGCGACCACGGATGTTCCGCCTTTGAGACCCAATATCTGTTGAGAAGCAAGCCAACGCCTAACAAGAAAGGTAGCGGGTCGTTTTATAAACACGGCATGGCGGCAGGACCAACAGCTGATAGACATTGCCAGCATTGCGGCCATGTGATGCATGTCAATGGTCCGATGTACGGAGGTCACATCCACTCGGCAGATTTCATCCAAAAGCTTCTCGATCAAATCCCCAACGCCTCGCCAGAAGTCTATGGTACTCTCCCAAGATTAGAAGGCATGCTACGAACGGCCTTGGAGGAGATTATTCCGGGACCTGAAGCCGATCCCACCGTGGACCCCAAGGATGCTCAGCATGCGGAAATTGACCACTGTCCCTTCTTTGTTATCCCCTCCAAGCTAGCAACTGTAATTTCTTGTGCTGCCCCGAGCGATGACATGTTCCGTGGTGCTCTGATACATCTTGGTTATCAAGTTGGGCGAAGCCACTGCCGACCGGGCAGCGTCAAGACCGATGCCCCTTGGTCTACGATTTGGTGGATCATGACAGAATGGATCCGTCAAAAATCTCCTATTAAAGCGTCAAAGTTTACACCATTGATGCCTGGCTGGAAGATTCTACATTCTGCCGGGCTAGTTGGTCGAGAAGATGGAGCACCGCAGGGGCCTGATAGTAACATGGAAGATGTCCAGGCAGATGAAGAGCCTCAGAGCGCAGAGGCGGCGGGAAAGCCCGATGAGCAAGTTTCAAGCCCGAGCGAACTAGAGCTGAGGAAAACGCTGGTATTCAACGAGGATCTCGCACGACTGGGTCGCCTACGGGATACCCAGAAACTGGTACGATACCAAATGAATCCTCGACCAGACTGGGGACCTTTGTCCAAAGCCAAAGCCCAGTGAAAGTAATCAAGCAAGCGACGACAGACGGCATAGTCTGCCTTTAAGTTAATACAGGGCATTGCCCACATCAAAAAATCCTGAAATGATCCATTGGAGAGTGTCGACCAGAAGTCTAGATAAACTGAGCCCACTTACATGCCGTGAAGGATGCGCTTATGTCGAATGTGTGAAACTATGATCCTTTTACAAACCCCCACCAAAGGAGGAGCGGCGAATCATGCCGAATCACGCAGAATTAACGCCGGATCGCGTGCACCCCGTCGCTGCGACTCAGATGTGACACAAAATTGCTGCGCTAAAGCTCATACCATCAAGGTATGTGATATATACACGAGCCAACTGCGTCTCATTAGAGCCCTCTGGGTTTCTCATATTATTGCCAACTCTGCCCGCGTTGGTATCGATTTCAACGAATTTACTCATTTATCTATCGCATTTATCCTTTAACCTTTTTTAATGAGCTCCGCGAAGCCCCAAGCGGGGCTGACAAATGTTACCGGCGTCTCGGTCTCGGACGGCGGTATCTCCTGGAATGACAGCAATAATGGCAAAGGCGAAGCAAAACTTCAGAATCTGCTGTTTGTTCTTGACCGTGCACAATCCCCCGGCCAAAAGACAGGCTACATAATCTCAATTTTGGTCGAGAACCCGGAGAGTCCAGAAGATCGCTTCCGACTACTGCTCTTGCTCGCGGACGCTATCCCCGATGAACTCCGGCAGCGTCTCATCACCGGCCTACCTTCTTATCTGCGGCCTATAAATGGTAAGCAGGAAGTCGATGTCGTCGTATCAACGAAATCGGGCGTCGGTCTTTCTCTGCAGTTCTGGCAGAGTGTATTACAGCCTCTCTGGACCGTGATCGCAGAGCAGTCATCCGATGCAGACGGCCGAGAGTCACCAAACGTTCTTGTCACGGAAGATGCGCAAAGCGTTCGGAAATTCGCCCGACGCGTTGGTGGCTCTGAGGGCAAATCGGCCGGCGAAATCGCTGAATCAAGGACCATTATTCTTCTAAGCGGAGATGGCGGCGTTGTCGACCTCATAAATGGCAGCTCTCACGATGAATCTGTATTGGAGCAGCGACAGTTACTCTTAGCACTTCTCCCGCTGGGCACAGGAAATGCTCTTTTCCACTCTTTGCACAAGCCCCTTGGCAAGACTGAAGATGCCTCTCCTCTGGTACTGGGTCTGAGGACGCTATTCAGCGGCGTTCCCGCAAACTTGCCTCTATTCCGAGCGTCGTTCTCCCCGGGGTCGCGCATCGTCAAATTCACACCGACGACCGAAGAGCCTTTGGGAGACGACGCCTCCAGTAATCCGTTACATCTCGAGAAAGAAGAAACTCGAGTATCGCATCTCTTTGGTGCCGTGGTGGCAAGCTACGGCTTTCACTCCAGCATAGTCTATGAAAGCGATACTCCCGAGTACCGTGTCCATGGCGACAAACGTTTTGGCATGGTTGCCCAAGAGCTCCTCCGCGAATCACATCCTTACAATGCTCAGGTAGATGTTCGCCATCCCTCTTCGTCCTCGGCATCGCAGTGGGAGACTATCCCGGGAGATAAGCATGCCTATGTGCTAGTGACGCCGCTCTCTAACTTGGAGCGCACATTCACGATATCTCCCGCGAGTAAGCCTCTTGATGGGAAGCTCCGTTTAGTGCATTTCGGCACCATAGGGGGCGAAAGGACGTTGGATGTCATGATGAAGGCGTATGATGAGGGAAAGCATATTGGGATGAAGTGGGATGATGGACATGAGGTGCGGTATGAAGAGGTGGATGAAGTGAAAGTGACGGTTTTGGAAGAGGATGAGAGATGGCGAAAGGTGTGTATTGACGGTACAATTGTTGACATACCTCAAGGAGGGGAGCTGTCTGTACGAAAAGAAGAGAAGAGTGGGTTTAACATTTTGGTTGATTCACGGGTGCTGCCAAGCAACTGAACAGAGAGATAGGTGTTGGATACAGTGGATTTCTAAAGCGCGCCAGTTTGATTAAGATTGGATATTTCTTCAATATAGTCCACCCTCTCACTTATTCGCCAGCGCAAGTCTTAAAAAAACAACCTCATGGACCTTCCATCATTTTCTTCGCCCTCTTCTCTATGACGCGTGAAAATCCATCAACGCCGTCTTTCAGTTCTGTTATTCCTCCACCTTTAAGTCGATAGACGATTCTCCTTCGCTTCATTTCTTCTTCCTCTTCCTGTTCATCATCGTCTTCGTCGTCTCCCGCGTCCTCGATCTGGCCCTCTATAGCCCCGCGCATGAACCATCTGTCGTGGCTCACCAGCACAACAGCGCCCTCCCATTCGTTCAACGCCTCTCGCAGCGCAGTCACTGTCTCGTAGTCGAGATGAGTGGTGACTTCGTCGAGTACAAGGCACTGCGGGTGTTTCCAGAACAATCTCGCTAGCTGGCATCGCACCAGCTGGCCACCGGACAACTTGGAAATAGGGACATCTGATGCGAGTCGGCCAGGGAGACCAAGTGTGCCCAGCAGGCCACGGATCTCCCCCTCGTTGAGAGCGCCGTCAACTTCCTTGGTCAGGAGAGCAAGTGAAGTCAGTCCATGCTGAGCACGACCGATAGCCTTTAGCTCTTCAACGGCATGTTGGGAGTAATAGCCCATTCTGAGGCGGGGATGCGTCGTGAGCGTGCCGGACGTTGGCGAAGCCTCTTCAACAAGGAGTTTGATAAGTGTCGATTTACCAGCACCATTCAGTCCGAGAATACCAATACGATCACCCATACTCACCGTGAGGGTGACATCCTGAAGAATCATTGGAGATTTCGGCGAATATCGGTACGACGCCTTGTCCAACGAGATGAGCGATCCGGGAAACCTCAGCTCAGGAGGTTCAGGCAACGAAATAATGACGGGTCGCTGCTCTGGCGGAATCTCAATTCCCTCTCGGCTGGTGAGAAAGAACCCGACGAGATCCCTATTCAGCTTAAATCGAGTGCCCTTGGCACTGACTTGCATTCCCCAGCGGTCATCTAGCTTTTTCTGCCGAGACTTTGCCTGGCGAATCTTGTTCTGGTCGTCGTTGGCTTTGCCAGCCTTGAGGTTCTGCGCAATGGTCTTCTCCATGTGGGCTTTCTGCTTGTCTTGGGCCTCCTTCATCTTGATAAGCCACTGCCTTCGCTCGGATTGCGAACGTTCGTATGTTTGAATGTCGCCATGGAAATAAGTAAGCTGCTTATCCTTCAAGATGAGAAGATCCGTACAGAGCGAGATGAAATCGCGATCGTGAGAAACGAGGATCAGTGTAGGAGGCTTCTCCGTATCTGCCAGAGCCTGCAAGTAGCGCTGTAGCCAGACAATTCCCAACAGATCTAAGAAATTGGTGGGTTCGTCCAGAATCAGAATGTCGGCCTCCTGCAGCAGAGCCGATGCAAGCGAAGCCCGCATATGCCAGCCTCCAGAAAGGCTGGACAGGGGCTTATCCATGTATGCCTCGGTGAAGCCAAGACCCGTGAGAATGTTTCGGGCTTGGACTTCAATCTGGGCTAGTCTTGAGGGCTCAACCTGGATCTGCAAATCTGCCAGCATGTCGGCTGCCTCTTGGGTTTCCGCTTGAAGAGCTTCGGTCGAGATTTCGTCATCGGGCTGTTCGAGCCTATACCGCGCCTTGTTAATGACAGGAAATGGATTGCTTGAGCTTGACAATCTATGAGCTTACAAAGCTTGCGAGTCCGCAACGACTTTCTCGAATGCCACGAGAGCTTTCCTCGCCTGTAGTCCTCGAGCACCACTTCGTAGTCTAGCTTCTTTGTCTACGAGAAAGTGGCGCTTCTGAAGCTTCTCATGCTTCAGACCTCTCAAGGCCCGGATCGGAGCGTATGGATCCGCGGCGTCAACACCCTCCGAGAGAACTAGTAGCTGTCAATTAAAGCGTCGTAGATGTAATCGCGAAGAATATGTGTACCTTTGATTTCTTGCTCAATCAAGCTTCGGGCAGTGGCACGCTCAATGACTTCTTGCAGCACAGTTCCCTGGCCACTTTTCTCTGTTTTCGTCTTATCATCCTCATCGGACTCTGTGAGCTTCGTCTGCTGCAGAATGGCAATCCTGGAGCCCTCTTGAATCCCGGGAATGAGCTTCTGAGCAATAGCCTTGAGCAGCGCTGCAGTGATTTGAGTTTACCCCTTGGTCAGTCTCCTCGCAACCTCTCGTGCTAAGCATGTGAATTCTCACTCGACTTCCCCGTGCCATTCCGGCCAACCAAGGCGTAGCGCTGGCCTTCTTTCAACCGCAGCTTGGCATTGGACAAGATCTCAAGGCCATCTGATTTTGATTTGCCTTTGGATTTGCCAGCAGCCTTTTCAGTCTTCTCTGCCTTCTCGCCGGACGTAACGACGATGGTGAGACCATCGATGTCGAGCTATTCTCTTCGATTAACAGGTATCATGGGATCAACGGTGCCTCTGTGACGAACTTCGCGATAGCTGGAGCTGTCGATGTTGAAGCGAGTCTGCTTGGCCGTGCAGAGAATCGTGGCCACCGACTCAGCTGCCATGGACGTCATTTTGGCGGAACAGAATCGTTTAGTTTTGCTTGAGCTCTGTGTGAAAATGTGGGGGTTGCAGTTGTAGATGGAGTATCGCGAGTGCAGCACATCAAGTGACTACTGGACTAAGCCCATACGAAGATAAATCTTTATAATGCCCAAGATTGGGGGTCCAGCGGCTTTATGGCCTAGCATCATTTCTTTTGTGCAAGCCATTCGAAATGATGTAAACGCGAAGCGGCGAGAAGTGAAGCATAGGCCGCCACTGCCCCATTTTCGACGCGTCTCCAACGGCAAATGGCCCGGGTCTGGCTCCCAGAGTGAGGGCCGGTCCGTAGCCCAACTCGAAAAATCGAGACAATCTGCAAGCAGATCCAAGACAGTGCGAGGTGTCGGCCAGTGACTCATACGCGGAGATACATGCTCTAGCGCCGCAATTTCAAAGCCACTCGCAGTGGTGTTGCGACCCTTATTTACCTTATATATCCAATGGCTAATTATGAATGACTCTTCAAATGACTCCCTACCGTGATGATGGCACAGCATGTTCCAAGATATGCACCATATTCCACTCAGGAGAGCATATCCGACTGTGATGTCCACTGAACAATCTCGGTGACATTCACCCCTCCTCTGTACGGGGCCTTACACACTCTTATCGTCGTTGCTCGTATGGTAGCCCTCTCGAGGCCAATTGCAAGTAGAAGGCACGATCCTATCCAGCAGATGACGATGACGCCTACTCCTTCTTCTTCTACGTTCTCAGGAGTTTGGCACGATCCAGCCCAGCAGATGACGAGAACGCCTTCTTCTTCTACGTTCTCAGGAGTTCGTACCTAGAGGTAGTAAAGACCTTTTGGATGGCTTCAATCACACCTTAAACGAAGACCGTCGACTAGCCCTCCATGTACCAAGTACGAACCCAAGCAAACTCCTCGTTTGCTCGATGCCAGACCGTGAGCCCGACCCGACCTGACCCAGAGCGATGTGATGCTTCGAGCGGAAGGACAGGGTCTGCACAGAGTACTGTGGGAGGGTTTGCGGTTCCATCGCACGGCCGTCGCCCAAGTCTTCGCCTTTCTTCTACAAGCAATACGTACCGAACCGCCACCGGAGGCCTGGCATGATGAAGCTGAAAAGCTTGGTCTTTGGAAAGTCGAATACGATGACATTCTTGCAAAAATTCCACTCACAGACCGCAAGCGCAATGGTCCCCTGACTGCTCCCTACCCGCCCCAGTGTTGGGAGGATTTCAATTGGTCTTCTCCTTGGGCCCTGTCGCCTATTCCAAATGTTTATCGTACTGGTAGGAATATCTCCGCGGCAGAGATTGTACAAAGGAGGCAAGACGAAACAACGAAACCTCATATAGGGAGCCAGCCATTTTGCTCTCAACAGTGCCTGCTTGGCTTAGCACTCGGGAAAGACGTAGATAGGAGTTGCCCTAACGCTGGATGCCACGGACAGAAGCACATTGACCGGCTTGAGTTTCTACACCTTATAAGAGAGCAACTTGCTGTAGACCGCGGTCGCGACGCTGATTGCATGCCGTTGCACCGGTCTAGATTTCGTGGCTCGCTCTTCAAGCTACGGCTATCATCACACGGCTATACACTCGTCGCCAAGGGGATGGAGGGTCTCGACCTAGCCCGTCTGCAACATGAGAAAGAAATCTATGACCGCCTCCTCGCAATCCAGGGCGAGTATGTTCCTGTATGTCTTGGTAGTATCGACCTCATTCTCCCATATTACTATGACTGTGGCGTCTACAAGCATTTCTTGTTTCTTGCCTGGGCTGGGCGGCCTATCTTCGAATATAAAAACCAAATCAACAGCCTCGACCTGCCGGATGCAGTCACAAGGATTTTCAAGGCGATACACACATTGAAGGTTCTCCATCGCGATGCGGAGCCGCGCAACATACTATATGATGAACATGGCGGTACTCTCATGGTTGTCGACTTCCAGCGTTCAGTATATTGGAAACATCAAGCTCAAGCATCTGTTAGCGGAAAAGATCGCCAAGCCAGAAAGAAACATAGGGAGCTGCAGAAGCAACACAAATTAGACATGGATAGAGAAGCAGAAATGGCGAAGCAAGGGATAATAAGCAGACCAACCCATCAGTCACGGGAGATATCAGAGGCCAACTTTGCAGCTGAGCTTAAATGGGTCGTGCATGAGGTCTCGAACTACGTCTCAAACTTAAAGGCCTAATATCTGGTATGCCAAACAAAGCGAATGCCTGGATGTATGCAAGCTGCTAGAATTACCAAACTACTAGAGATAATAGAGATAATAGAGTTACCAGGACGACTTTATAGGTACATGTATAACACGACAGCCGTTGGGAAACCGCCCAGAGGGTTATGGCCGGGGCCAGAGACGCACGGAGACGGATCATAGGCAGGATAATCGCCATAATGTCCCACTTGGATGTCCGACCTTCGCCAAGTCCCCTCGTGGTGCGTCGCCGTTGGCATCCGTCTCCCGTCGTTCCTTTAAAGCTGATATTCTGGCTTTGTATACCTCACGTACGCGTATTTCAGCGTACATCAGTCAATTAGAACGGCTGGCTATCACACATGTCGAGGACACTATACTTCAGAACATAGCCCCAGGCATCCTATCCGCTCCTGGGTCGGATGTCTGCAGATGTATTCAGTTGCTAAACGATGAGACAGTAGACGGCTCACGTGTAATTTGGGAGTCTGGATAGATAAAAGCGCTTGGAACAGGCTAACATCGGCGGTTAGACGAAAGACGTAAGCCAAACGAACTCATTAGTAGATGAATAAGAAACGAGGCAAATGAAGTAGATTTACGTTAATAAACGAACCATGAGTAGATAAACTACAGACAACGGCATTTATCATCTAGAGGGTAGAGTTTTAATCACAACCGCACAAACTTGGCATTGAACAGCAGCTTTTTGTATCATCATCCCCGAAAAAGCGAGACTTTTCTGTTACAGTGACATGGAGAAACGGTCCTTTTGTGTCATATCTAGACTTCAACCATCCCCTTCCTTTTGTGTTGCGTGACGAACGTAATTCGGCTCTGGTTACTTGCTCGAGTGTTTCCTCTCCTTTGCCATCTCGTCAAAAAGACTTCCATCGTAAAGCTTTCGGATATCTTCCTTCTTCATGCGCCCATCTTCAGGCCAGAGAAGGATGTAAGTTGTGAACCCTAGGTCAATATCAGCCATTGTGTGACACCAACACGGAGAGCCGTTATACAAACATTCAATAGAAACGGCTGCCCAGCCAAATGGATCTGCCAGCAACCTCTGGCCCTTGAGCATGTTGAAAACGTCCCGTACAGTGATATAGTCCTTATCGTCCGCGTACTTGGAGAACATGTCTTCAAACTTTTGAGGTACAAAGCGACCTTCATTATCGTATGTCCCACTATCACTTCCATGCTTACTCTTGTGAATATTTTTGAGATAGATACGGAAAAAGGGATCGGGGAGGAGTCCGGAGACGGTCGGGTAGGAAAAGGCGAGGTGAACAACGACTACGGCGATGATGCAGAACAGGAAATTGAATCCTAGTGCGTGGAGGCTTTTGAAGGTGTCCAGAGGCCAAATGATACCGTCTTTATCCTGCATCGTAGTTAGAAGGTGGGCTGATCAGAAAGACGGGCGTCAAATTCTCTTACACGGTCAAAGTAATCGCAGTGTTGTTGCAAGACCTGTTCAATATCGCAGGTTAGTTTGCGAGCTCCTCAAAGCATTGATAATACAAAGAATACACTCACAGTCTGGTTTTGATGCTCTTTTGCCCAGTTACCAGCTTGCGAGCCTTCCGGCTGGTCGTACGTTGCGGCTATGTTTGCTCTTGGTGTACCTACATTCGTCTCTCAGTTACAGTGCTAGGAAATATGCGATTTGTCCATCTCGTAATGTCATACCAGTATGAGAGAGCCTCACATCTCCCTCCGGCTGAAGAAATGGTTTTCGTTGAAGTGTGATTGGTGCAGCATGGATGTAGCTCTTCACCGCATCTGAACTGCCTTTGGAATCTGAATCGATCCCATTCACCAATGCCGCCTTGTAATCCATTTTGACTCTTGCCTGGTACGTTGCGATTTACACAGAATTAATGATAAGTAGACGTTGGAAGAAGAGAATTAGAGAAGGGAATCAGTCTGGTTGATCTAGAGGAACGAAGTAGTAGAATCATCGTCTATTTCACACGAAAAATGTGTGCGACGTGAATTGAATTGCCTTTTATTCCGCCATGACGACATTGTGAGCTCATGATTGGGGTTTGCAGGCATTGCTGGCAAAGCTTAAGCTTGCAGAAAATAAGCAATTGAGAAGAGACAGACACGGAAGTGATCATCCCGACGTCATAACGCGGAATGTCTCATGTCTTGCACCAGCAATGTTTATATCACATTATGCAAAACTGAATCAAAGTCACAAAATTGCCATGTGATTATTGGCCAAACTTAAACTGTGCACAGAATTGTTGATGAAAAACTGCATGCACTTTGGCGAAATTCCAGGTTGTCTACGGATGAGAAGAGTATTCACGACGGTCAGTCACCGAAAGCTTAAATAGGAACATGGAACATAAGCAAGTTTTAGTACGATATTGCAAGCTACATGATTCAAACATCATGAAGCACCTAAGAGACAGAGAGTGAAATTTAAGCTGCCTGCTTCGTCAGAGCTTCGCTAATACGCCAGAGCTTTTCTGCCTGTGCGGGATCAACAGCCCCAGGCAATAAGCCCTCTTTCGTCAAGACTCCGTCGGCCAAGTAGTAGCCATCCTTGTCTAGCAAAATATGTCAGTATTTGATTAGGTTGCACGAGTGAAGTTGAGGTGTAAGAATGCTTCAATAAGCTGGGTGACTTACTGGATAGTCGAGAGTCGAAAGCGGTGATGATTCCGGTTGAGGATCCCTCAGCCAAGGTCTTGGCCTTAATCGCCGAGTTCAGGTTACCGTTGTCGTCGATCCAGCCTGTCGCAAATTAGAATTGTGGCAAAATACAACAAAAAGACGGATAATGAAGAGTATGTGAGACACATACCGAGTGCCTTGAAGTCCTCCATCGGAACGCTTCTCGTCAGGCCTGTGGTAACAATAACACCAGGATCAACGCTGAAGGAACGCAATCCCCGCTGGCCAAAGTGCTGGACCAAACCGACCGACAAGAGAACATCGCATGCCTTGGAATTGCTATACGCCGTCCACTTCTCATAGTCTTTGCCGTTGTTGTATGACAGGTCGTCCAAGAAGGACAGATTGGCGCGGGATTGAGCTTCGCTTGAGTAGGTCACAACGACGCCGTGCTCCGAGGCGAGCAGCTTCTCGATCAACAGGTTGATGAAGAGAAAGTGACCCAGGTGGTTTACAGCAAATTGCATCTCAATGTCGTCCTTGGACTTCTCAAATGACGGCACAGCCATGACGCCGGCGGTACAGATCATGGCATCAAGAACCGTAACAGAGCTGTTTACCTCGGCGGCAGCCTTGCGGGTGGCCTCCAACGAGGAGAGATCAAGCACGATGGGCTGCACGACGGTGCCTTGAGGGATATCTAGGGACTTGATCACTTCTTGCAGCTTGTCCGCCGCTCGACTGGCGATGAGAAGTTTGGCCGGCTTCTGAGCCAGGATGGCTCGAGCTGTGTCGGAGCCTAGCGAATTCGGACTGACGCCGGTTACAAGAACTAAATGCCCAAAATTAGCAAAGCAGGTGCTGAAGAAGAAAGGATAAAAACGACTGACTCGTCTTTCCGGTAATGGCATCCTTGAGAGCCGTGGCGGCCTCGTCGGATGTTGTGTGGAATCCAAATTCTGCCATGTTGATTGATGTTCAATAAATGGTGATTGATACTGTTTCTGTTTGCCATTTTTCGGTATTCCAACTGGAAGGGCCTTTTTATATCTAAATCCACGTCTATTCGCTGTACCCAGACATGATGACGCTATCACCAGCGCAAGCGTAAGCAACAACACCAACAGCCCTGACAGCGATATCTTCAGTCCGATAATTCCGCATTAATAATTCAAATGTATATACTCATTTTGCTTTCGAGTAAAGTATTCATCATTTCTTAGTCTCGCATAGATATGTACTCTCCCCGTTGTGCCGCCCACCACCGTGAGCTATGCCATAGTTCACCATCTTGTCCCCCAATAAGCCATTTCCATTTCCGCAAAAACCACTCTTTGGCTTCCCAGCTGTGGCTATCCCATGGTGTGCCATAATCCATACCATTCTGACCGGCGGATCCCCAGCACACAAGCCCATCATGCAACATTAGATCCAGACAGAGATCATCCTCGTCCAACAAAGGAGGATCCGCCGCCAGAGCGGCCAAGGCACGCCGCCGGAGGGTGGGAAATGGCAATGCGTCGATATAGGGATGATGTGATATAGTGTACTGGGACGAAATTGGGCGCAGACTAAAAGGAATATTTTCATCTTCTGTCACTGTAGAGGTGTTGGCGCCCTCAGCTGCGCTGTTGACGCAGAAAGGAGATAGACTGCGCTCGTCAAGAAAAAGGCCAAAGTCAAAGCCAAGAGAGCTAAAATTCGTAAATAGAGCTGCAAAATAAGAGAATCTCGCGATACGAAGTGCGTTGCGATAGGGCGAGTAAGATGTCGCGGGCGATATGGCGAATCTCAACTCCGACAGCTGTGATTCTGTCTTCTCCGGGTCACTGCCTTCGAAAAGGTGGACTTCAATGTTGTTTGAGCTCGTCTCGGCCAGTAGTAGAGATGATATCATATCTACGAAACTGAAGTCGCCGTCTTTCGCCAGCTGGGCGAGGAGACGTCGCGTAGATTGGGGAAGAGATTGAAACCACTTGCGGATGAGCTGTGGCTTTCTGAGAAGCGCTTTACCACTGGGCCGATGGATGTGTATGTCTTTGCGAGTAAGTGACCTTGATGCTGAATACATAGATGCTGATGTATTGATAGAGAGGAGAGAAGATGATGAAGTTGCAGTAGCGGTATTATCGGATAACCCAGTCGTAGTTGATGTTGGTGCGTCCAGTGTGGCCATGCTCGACAGCTCTCTTGTATCAGTATTATGGAGCAAATCAGAGAAGCTTTCTGTTGGATTATTCTCTGAGGCTGTTAACTGGCCCTCATTGGAACTGATCTGAGGTAAATTTATCATGTCAATACTGAGTGAAGTTGATGTTGGATCATCTAGCCAAACGTTGGTATTGTAGTCCCAAGCGTTCAGGCTGTAAGACTCAGATGAATCAATAGTGGTTGATGTAACATGTGTCTGCAAAGACGGCGAACCTTGTATTCGCAAGGGATCCGCAGTTGCTGGAGGCGTCACTGCAGTCCTGTTGGGAACTGGCCCAGGTTTATACCCGGGCTCCAAGGAGGCAACCTTAGCTTCTAGCTCTTTCAATTTATCTCGTTTTCGTTGGCGATAAGCCCTCTGGGCTCTGCAATTTTGCATACGCCGCTCAGCTGAGATTGGCTTGTTTGGACGTTGTCTTGATTTCCTTTGCGCGGGTGTGTTTCTAACGTTGGATTCATCGCCAACCAGCTGCGGAACTGCGTCGCTTGGGCTTGTCATCCTGGCCTCGATGCTTTACTCTCCTGCCACGCTTACTCTGTAGGTTGTATGCGTGAATGGTAGCCAAAGCTTGGTACCTTTGTGGTTGATTGTTTTGATTACGCTTCATTCGAATGCAGATGAATACGTTGCTAGTATGAGAGTAGTTGTTGAAAGTTGGTATAGGAGATTCTCTTTAGATCCGAACATTAACGTCGAATGCTTACGAGAAGACGTCAAGGTGCTTACGGTTCGGGAATTGCCAGTAGTCAGCGTAGCTTTAGGTACCGTGGCGCTAATCCTAGCGTACAATTCCACTAAAATAGCATAAGTATACTTGAGGGTACTCGGTGTGGCTCCCGGAGTTAAGCATAAGAGCGTACCTCGTTCAATGGCACTTATAGTATTTGGCATGCATTTAATGTCGATTTGTAGGCGATAAATTGCAAGAGCGCAACTTGTGATATAATTCAGATAAATTCGGTTATCTACGCAGACATTTGATTGTCTATTTGGTCGCCCAAATGCAAAATTATTAAACTGCGTATATATTTGCCACCTGAAGAGGATATCTATGTCACACCCGCGTCTAAATTACCCATGCCGACATCAAATCGTTACCATCATAGTACACAGCTATCATATGATGGCCGTTTAAAAGATAAAGTCAGGTTTCATTAGGCCTCGAACACTATACTTTTAGGTACTATGATGTTTTCTATTATAATGCCCGTACAAAGATCGATTTACATTGAGGCGACGGCTTGTCCAATTTCTCGCTATATTATCCCGTAATGCATGACTATCACCATCAGGGTAAATCATTTCTTCTCATGCGACCTCATTTCTCTGTAGATTGAGCTATTCAATTTTGTCCTATTGGCAATATGGTATTAACCAATAACGAGGCTAACATGTGTACAGATGTGGTACCTAGCCAGTAGTATGTATTATGTAGCCTATTTGTGATACTACAGAGGCGGCGGCGGCGAGTACAGGTAGCATACGCCAAACTTCATGGATCCAAAGTTAGCAAAAGTGTTTCTAAGTCCAGTAATATCATCTATCCAACTGCTCACACGAAAATCGGCGACCATGCTGGTAAACTGGGATACGGGTAGGATAGCGTAGGTTTCCGTTTTGGAGATGGGCAAGCGCGCAGTTTCGACCCTTTCAAGCTTCTTAACACCGCGAGAATCGAACGTCGCACTCCCAACCATGTTCGTGGAACATTTGTGGCAATCCACATCTTTGCAAAATACAGCATTCGTTCCCGGTTTAACAAGCTCGCCTTTTTTTGAATAAGGGAATTTTGTGTATTGCGCCTCCAAATGTCCGGAAAAGACGGAATTGGACTAAGATTACTTGTCAGCGTGCCATCGTTCTTCCCTACCACATTGCGAGGACTCCTCTTTCTTCATACTTGCAACGAGAGTATCTTTCCTTCCTACAGGCCTATTACAGGCACCGCAGTGAGGGTAGACTCGGAGGTGAGGCTTTAAGCCCGTAGAATGGTAAACTTGAGACATGGTTGGTAGCTTATAGCAGTTTTTTCTGAGGCGATAGATCTGAGCCTTGACGTGGCAGTAATGATGGCAATGTCGGTTTTATTTTGGAGAGTGCACTCGAAGAAAGATGTTGAATTATTACGAAGTCTGATAGCTGAGATCTTGGATGGTCTACCGCATGGAGATGCTACCACGTGTAATGAACTACAATATACTCGTACTTTGTAGACTCTGATAAGCTGGGTGGCTGGGTACGATGTCTGCATGTAAATTTCTCAATTCCGCTCTGGCTGGCACTCCGGCCACGATTGTATACATTGCATTGGGGGTATTTCCATGTTTCTCTTGTATGAAGAAACTCTGCTGAATCATGGTGCATGCCGTTGGACTTGGGGAAACATTGTCTCTTACACATAGATACGCATTGACGTCTACATGCACGTACCTGTATTTACAGTGTCGAGATAAAAAAGTTTGATTCGGCAAAATCGTGCCAGTCACTAGAAGATGGCTACTTGTAGGCTAGGTAGCTCCCGAAGCTTGCAGCAACGGAATCCAACGCGGGGGTACATGTGTTGGATGCTTTTCTAAGCCTATGTTGCTCTCGTAGGATCTTCTAGAGATCCCGGCTCTATACACGTATCGATATGAATGGCTGACCGAAGATGTACGTTTGTGATGGTTCCTGGCGGATAAGTGGAGAATAGAAATCCGGCGATGGATATCGATCATTTTACGGGCCATCCCAGGTTTGGCGGAGATTGGCTCGAGATGTGGTGGAGATTTACTTGTCGATTGGTGGACTAAGCAAGTCCAGCGTCACATGCGAAAAAGAATCCATACCTAGTATGATAAGTCTCTCAGTCTCTCTCTTTCTTTTAGAAACCTATCCTGAGGCGTCATTATAATTCCCTCGTTCAGCCACCTGCGTAGAATCGCATAAATATTCGGCCAAAGAAGAAGGCATATGCTCTCCAGCTAAAAGATTAATATTCTTGATTCGCGCTATTGATACGCAACGGCCAAAGTTGCCTTTCATCATGGATCCTTCTGCTTATGGTTTTAGCGGAGCAGCGTGTGCGGCTTTGGCCAGTCGATTTGGTAGCCAATCAATGTCAATTTTGTATGAGGCGAGGACGGACTCCGGAGCAAATATTTCGTCGGCCATTCCGGGCAAAGCGGACAATACAGTAGCTACAGTATGACGGACGATGCACGTCGATGGATACACGTACTTTGCAGCGACCACAGCCTCACACATCATAGACTAGAGGAATATTAGCAGTGAAGAACAAGACGGAAAACGTGTGCGCTGTAAATCATCATTCTTCATTACTAAAGTACTCAATGGTTTCTTAGAGGTCGGTCAGAGCCTCTCTGGCTTACTTGTCCATTCATATCATGTGCTACGAAACCGTGGCCTTTACAGGGACTTTCTGCAGGTCACCCACCACTGAGAGCTCAACAAAACTGCCCCCTAAATCGCGGACCCCTAAAACCAACACTAATAGGGACTTGCACATGTACATGTGCTCTCAATCCATGACCGCTTGGACTTTTCTTCTTTGTTCATCACTTCTCTCTCTTACATACTCGTACTTGGCACATCCATAATAAAACAAACACCAATTCCCTCTTCATTTCGCATTGTCGTCATCGCCATCGTCACTGTCAGCCTCTTGCATCGCATCACTTCGCAATCGCATTCGCTGTATTATCGCGTGCGCCACCCCCCATCTGCACCGTCTTCTCGGAATCCGGATACGCCAAACCCCGAGCCAGGTCTATCTAAACTCCGTCCGTCCCTCCGCCAGCCAGCCCAAATCCGGCCCTGCGACACGAACGAATTGCGTGGCCAGAGTCGAGAACTCGACATTTGTTTGGTCATACGGGTGCCTGGTGCCTTTTTCTTACATTATAAGCTGCGCTCCGCCCAAAAGTTCGCTCTTAGGCAATGCTCAAGACGCAAACCGTTACAGCGATTCTGCACCGATCGCGGCTCAACTTCAACATCACCGCCTCTTCATCTTCTCTCCCCGCCACAGCGTCCAAAATGTCCACCACCGAAAATGCGATCCGGGCTCACCCGCCGCCGGACTCATCTGAAGAGCTACGGCAGCAGCGGCCTCAGCAGCAGCCGTCAGGCGCATACTTTCCACTGGGATACAAAGAAGCTGCCTATCAATGGGTATGTAGTCTAGATCTTGGTTTGCTAATTCGCCTCTTCCATGTCTAGACTTGTGCTGACCAAGGTTCCATGTCTAGTGGTCGAGCGTCACGCCATCCATGGCCGAGCGCAACGTGCTCAAACACATTCCCTTTCTCAAAGAGGCCACCACCAGCATGGGCAGCCTCTCTACCCCCGACACGGCCGACTCTTTCGGCACCAGAATATGGAGGCGGTCTCTGGTCCAGCTCTCCGGCAAGAACCGCGCTCTCAACGAATTCTCCGTTGAGCGTGTTGGTGAGGAGACCGAAGAGACGCTGGTCATGGTCCACGGCTACGGTGCTGGCCTGGGCTTCTTCTACAAGAACTTCGAGCCCATCTCCCGCATCCCCGGCCTGAAGCTGTACGCCCTCGACATGCTAGGCATGGGCAATTCGTCCAGGCCGCCGTTCAAGATCCACGCCAAGGACAAGGAGGGTAAGGTTATCGAGGCGGAGAATTTTTTCATTGACGCCCTGGAGGAGTGGCGTAAGGCAAGGAAGATTGAGCGCTTTACCCTGCTGGGTCACTCCCTGGGCGGTTACTTGGCCGTCTCCTATGCCCTCAAGTATCCGGGACACTTGAAGAAGCTCATTCTTGCTTCTCCTGTCGGTATCCCAGAAGACCCGTATGCCGTCAACGCCGCTCTCCCCGAACCCGGCGAATCCACGATGCAGAACGAGTTTACCGTAGACCAGCAAACCACGACCACCACCAAGAACGGTGCCGCCGTTCCGCCCAAACGCCCTTATCCCAGCTGGCTTGTCTGGCTCTGGGACGCCAACGTATCGCCTTTCAGCATTGTGCGAATGGCTGGCCCTCTTGGTCCACGTTTCGTATCTGGCTGGACTTCGCGACGATTCAACCACCTCCCCGCTGAGGAAGCCCAAACCCTGCACGACTACTCGTTTTCCATCTTCAAGCAGAAGGGCAGCGGTGAGTATGCCTTGGCATATATTCTAGCACCAGGAGCGTTCGCTCGCCGACCAGTCATCAACCGCATCCAGAATGTTGGCCGACAGCCCATCACCGGACCAGACGGCCAGACTGTTGCCAAAGAGACTGGCATCCCCATCGTCTTCATGTACGGAGAGAATGACTGGATGGATGTTGCCGGAGGTCTTGCTGCTGAGGAGAAGCTGAAGCAGCTAAAGGCCAACATTATGCGCACCGGCACAGAAGAGGAGAAGCGCAACGAGAACGGAAGCTGCAAGGTTGTCATTATCCCCAAGGCTGGCCACCACTTATACCTTGACAATGCCGAATTCTTCAACAACATTATGAGGAAGGAAATGGAAGATGTTAAAGCGACGGAGAAGCGCAGGCAAGCAGCGGCGTCATCATAGACATTTCTGGTTTCGACTATTTCTTGATTCTTTCAAAGGGCATTTTTATACATTGGCATAAAGCGCGGTGCTTTTTTTTTTTTTTTCTTAAATTTTTGTTTTTTTACAGGATACACGGCGTTGAAGATGATGGAAATGGACTAATATGGGCAAGACATTATAGCATGAGGTTGATATATGTATGCGGGTGTATGTATACTTTTTGGTGTTGGGGAAGGGGAATAATAAAGCGATTTGCGTTCATAGAACTTAATAGATGGCTAGCAGCCAGTTTACAAGACAATTTAGAGCATTACCATATCACATATTACTGTAAATCAAATCGCAGTTGTGCTCAATATAGTTCATTTGGATATTCTTCTCATTGCTTCATTGACATATTCGGCATCCCATGCCGACCCGTTACTCCACCGTTACCTCAACCTTGGTCTTGTCTACCCCATCGCATCAGCACTAGATTCATCTCAAGCATCAGAAGAAATGTACTCACAAAAAGCAACGTGATCCCTCAAATCAACAGCGCCCGCCAAAGGCTCCTTGTAATACCAGGCCGCATTCTCATGCTTTGCACCTACAAAAATCACACTCCATTAGCAAACTCACTCACTTCACTCACTTCACTCTTAGCAAAAGCTATATGTATATAACTCACTGCCAACATCAATGCTGTAATAGCTCGCATCTCCTTTCCACGGACACCAAGTAGTCAAGTCCGTGCCCGAGAAATACTCCTTCTTGACGCTCTCCGGAGGGAAATACACGTTGCCTTCCGTCTCGCGCCACTCCGTGGCATCGGCGACGACGGTGCCGTTGATGCGCGCCGTGGCGTGGCCGGTTCTCGGGACGACGGGCTTGCCCATTCTGCGGAAGAGAGGCCGGAGGAACGAAATTGTGAATGATTCTCTAATAAGAAATAAAACAGGTAATTAATTTACCTGCTTAGTTGTTGGGTTGTTGAGTTTGAGTAGATTGATGTTTTGGGATATGTTCGAATGTTGCACGTCTTTTGGGAATACTTGCAAGATATATATATCAGAACAGACTGAACTGCCGGCATGTGGCTGAGACAAGAGCTAAAAGGAATTATCCAATTGATTTCTAATGCTGCAACACATCCATTGATTCAACTTGCCTTCCATCTTGTCAGCTGCGGGGTCAAGCTGCCGTTTCGTCATCGCGCCAACAAGTGCTGAAATAGATTCCAAATCAAATCATCCAGGACCCCTGATTCCAACTGTCATCATACAGACAGTCGTCTTTTCAATATCCTCATACGCCAAGACATGCTCACGAAAGAAAGAAGCCGTATCTGATATATATCAATTCATATTAATGCGTATCAATTCACCTTCGTATGTCTACATATTAAATCATGAAGAGCACTCTATGCAAAGAGTCTTTCGCTATGCAACCTGACAGACCGGCCGTGGGAATCCTTCTTTAGTCTCTTATTCGGTCTCATCAAACGCCATGAAACATGCAATCCTTTCACCCCTTTTTTTTTCCTTTTTTTCTTTTTCCTTCTTTTGCAAATAGCCAAAAATAATCATGTCAAGAGTACAAACGCCACGCTATTAGAGTCATTGTTCTAAACACCACTCTTTCAATCACAGGTTAATCAGATCAATCTCTGAGAAATCTGGCGGATATCTGCCGTACACCACTCGTACTTTGCTGTCCAGCGCCGTGCCTTCATTGCTGATCCAAATGTGCTCGCTGTAGTTGCGGGTTCGGCGGACCTCGTCGTCACTGATGCCCATGTCATCTCGAGGAACCCAAACCACAGGTCGACGAGCCCGCAGAGCTGAGTGCAGGAAAGCGTGTCGAACCAGAACATCCCTCTCTTCAGGGGTAAGGTCTTCGATTTCGTCGTGGATCCCTCCGTACAGCGCCTCTCCTATGGCGCGCTGTGCTTCGAGATCTTTACTTCGTTGCTTTCGCCTGTACTCGGCAGCCTGAGAGTTATTGTCCATCATGGCCAGTTTTTTGAGTTGGTTACCACCGCCTTTGGCCCAGGATCCCACCTGCTTTCCGCCTCCTTTGGCCCAGGATCCTACTTTCTTCACCGGGTTTGCAAGTCGTACTTTGCCCTTTCCTGGCTGAATATTGCTCAGTTCAATATCTTCTCTGCTCTCCATCGAGGTGGAAGCCTTTTCTGCCGTACCACCTTCCTCTCTTCGGCCGCCCTCAGCATCCTCGTCATCTTCAATGTCTGAGTCGCCCGATAGCCCAAAGCGGCGGTCCTGAGCTCGCTGGAAGGCTTCGTCACGCAACACAGCCTCATCTTCAAATGTGATGGGCAAATATCGGAACAGCGGTGAAAACGAGTCATTCAGGAGGATTTGGTAAAGAATAGTGAGGATCAAGACCACAATCATGACAATACCATGCGGCGTGCAGGTATGGGTGCCTGAGTCATCTACCACAATGAAAAACAATCCGGCGAGGCAGAGCTCCATAACATAGATACCCGTAAACGTTTGGTTGAGCGCACGAGGGTACAACACACCACCGGTATCAACTTCGAACCGAGTAACGTAAAGCATGGAGTACCGCTGGGCCACCCAGAGGAGCCCAAACGTGATGACGGCAAAAATAGAAATGAGCGGTGCGACGACGCTATAGATAATGGCAATGCAGGCAAAGTTTGTGTAGACGGGAAAGAATGTTCCCCAGTTGACATCGCTCAGTGTAGTGTTTCGAGACCACTTGCTGCGCGCGGTGTTGTCCAGCAATCGGGCCAAGATGAACCACACAAAGAGGGCTCCAATCTGCAACAGGGTACCGGAACTGGTAGACATGGCCTGAAGAATCATGTAAGAGAAGAAGTAGTTGGCGGCCTTTGGTAAATTCGTCGCGAGGAGATCCAGCACGGCTGTGACCGAGTCGAGCTCCGTGATATTGTCGACCAGTTTGTCGATCGAAGCGGCAAAGAACGAGGCAATGGAGACAATGAGGAAAACTTGGACAAAGAGGAAGGCGAAATAAAAGACTTGCACAAACTCTGCCTTTTGGGCTCCGGTCTTGGCGCCCCTGATCTCACCAAGGATATTCAGAATCATTGGAACAAGGATGAGGAGCAGGGCGAGCACAGCAGCGGGGAGAACACCTGCAACACCCTTGGCCGCATTCTCAAGAGCTTTGTTATCTCTCAGGAAGGCGAGCCAAGATGTCTGCTGGATGAGCTGATCCAGCTGGCCCAAGGCGGCCGTCCACGCGACGGGAATGGCCCACAAGAAAATCATGGCCAACACGATAAGGGTAACTGCACCTGTACGCACCCATTCCTGCCACCATGAGAGGGCCATGTTGCTCCAAATGACATCTCGAGGTGAAATCTCATTCACTCGTGGTGCCATTTGCCTGGGGATGTGATGGATAATGCTTTGACAAGCCATGTGGGCAGCCACTTGGTGGTTGAATTGTATAAAGGCTGAGTTCATCAAGGGGAATCTTTCAGGGTGTTGCTGATCCTCGTCAATTTCCATATTTAGTCGGGCCAGTTCGGTTCTGCACCAATAAATGGTGTCAACCTTCGTGTTGAATAACGGAAGGCCAGGCAGCCATGAGACTCCCCAGGGCGGTAGTCGATGAGTTGGGCGGTCCTTTTTTCTGAGATATTTCGCCCACTCGGCCTCAGTTTCTTCCTCCTCCACCTTGTACTCCTCGTTGAAGTAGACAGCGGGATAGTCATTTGTCTCGATGGCCTTTTCGCTCGTAAAAGGAAGAACGCCTTTTATATTCTGCCACAGCGTCCTCTTCTCAGGTCCTTGCTTGCCTATATAGTCGTCTGCCTCGTTTTGCTGAGGGACTGGAGATGCATATCCGCCGGCAGGTGTCTTCCAGAATTCCCAGAACTTTGGTTCCTCCATGTTGTACATGTCGTCGATGTTTTCGAGTTTTCGAACTGTGTTGCCTTCCACTGTAACGGGTGCATTCTGTCGAATAGCTCTGGTGGAGCTAGCAGCCGACGCATTCGATGCTCCCCGCGAATGTGTTTGTGTGCGATGGGCTTCAAAAGACTGATAGCCTCGATTTGGAGCGCCATCTTCTCCGGGAAGAGTCTGTTTGCCTGCCAGAGTTATAAAGCCATTGTTCATCCCAACATCGTCGATCTGATCGCCAGCCTTGTTGAAAGCTCCCTTGATATTTCTAAGCACCGCCACACTGCTACCGTCAGACGAATGAGATTTTCGGCCATCATCATCAGAGTCTGATGACGATTCATCGGATTCCTCTCGGACGTCTTTGAGCTTATGCATCTTTCTTTTGTGGCTATCCTCAATCCGAGACTCTCTGACGCCCTCGGCAACTGTGTGCGGGATGTGGTGCTGCTTGCCATCATTGGTCCCTTCGCCACTGTTTGCCATTCGTTTGGCCTCTGCGTCTTCCTCAGCTTGACGATCGGCCTTTTCTTTCTTCGATAGCCCCTTGCGCTGCTTCTTTTCCTCGGCATTTCGCTTCTTAAGCTGAGCCTTTTTGGCTGCCCGGATCAGTTCAGTCTCGGCGGCTTCTAGCTGAGCATGAATCTTATTTCGAAGGTTGACTTTGTCCAGGAGACTTGTTAAATCACGGTTGATCCAAATATTCCGAATCCCACCTGGGAAGACGTCGAATAATCCAGACAGCGCATCTTCACTGAGCCATTTGGGGGGAATGGAGTTGACAAGCACCGTTGTGGCAGAGGCTCTCAATCGGTGTTCCGCACTGGTCAAATAGTCTTGACGAACTTTGATATACGCGCGCATCTCGAAGAACATGACTCCACAGACCCAGAGTACGACAAGAATTGCCATCAACAGATGAGCAGCGTAACGACTGGTCTCGGTCGCCTTGACATTACCCCAGGCCAAGGTGTCTAGACCTGTAGGTACAAAGGCAGGATCGGTGCTATTGGTACTCGAATCCGAATCTGTGCTGTTGGTGTGGAAATCAATATCTTTGCCGCGACCGCCAACATAATTGATGGGAATCAAGATGGGCATGACGATGGCGCAGATGGGTATGAAAATGATGAGGAGGGTTTTAAGATATCGAAGGAAAAAGTAAGCGTCGAGCCCGCACTTGTTGATGACTTGTCGATCATTATACATGATCAGGGCCCTAATCATGGTAAAAAAGTTGTTCGGCGGCGAGTCTGTTCGCTCGCGCTCGGGAACAAGATACGTCTTGGGCTTGCTGCGAGAGAAGCCGTCGTCAGCACACAAACATCACATTAGGCGCCACAACACGATATACTTACAAAACCCTTGCCAATTTGTTCCTTAACAGGATGAAAAGTAAAAGCTGTACGAAGAAAATGATAACGGAGACCAGAATGGCCGTCAAGAAGCTCACAATGCCGATGCCTTGGCTCTTCTGGCCATTTCCCGCGGACTGCGAACTATCTCGTCGTGCCAGAGTGGCTGCCGTCGAGATCATGGCATGGGCCCATGACCGGCCGCCACCTACTGATGTTGTCTCCATGGTGGGAGGAGAGAAACGAGGCGCGCCGCCGTCAGGTCGGAGGTGAAAATGGTCGCGTAACGTGAAGGATACAGATAGGAGGCAAGGTATATCCAAGATGAAGAAATGCAGGTATCATTTGTTGAGAGGTAATGGATATCGTGAGGTGGTATTAAGTCGAGATTTGTAGGGGCGTCGGTACGATAATAGTGCCCCTCTGGGGGCTTCGAGGGAATGCGCTCAGGGTTTGTGTTTGTCGAGGGGAGACGAAAGCCAGCCGTGTTCACAATCAAAGGGGAGAAGCTGGAGGGCTAAAAGAAAAAGGAGAAGGCGAAGTCGGCGACAATGACAGCGCTTGCTGGTTGTCTCATTGAAGCGGTGGAGAGAGCAACCCTTTTGGTGGAGATGGAAGGGTTCAATTTTTTTTTTCTGTCGTTTGCTGAAAGAGCTTGGACGTGGTAGTCAATGAATGAACATGACATGAAATCAATGCTTGTTCAATTGCTAGTGCCTTGCTACCCCGTTACACGATAAGGTCATAGCCCGATCCCTTGTCCTTGAATCCTTGTTTCTGGGCTTCTCGTCCAGAACGTCATGCGCGGCCGTGA